CTCGCTACTTTTTGTGTATGGTAAAAACAGTCTTCTTTACTGAGCTTATTTTTCATAGTTCTAATACTCTTTCTCAATACCTTTAGTAACTATTTGCTTTTAATACTTTCTTACTGTGTGAACCGATTTCTGTAACTTATGTATAAAACAAAACTGGACATTCTTTATATACTGGAAATAATAAGCAAAGACAATATTTCACTAAGTGTTGTACTTTCTATTTATATATCATCAATAAATGTGGATTCATAATTTTCATGGTTACAATTACTGTATACATCTATTACAAGTACACTCTGAGGAGCATATATGAAGTAAATGTGCAAAGAAGTTTATTGTTCGATAATATTGTGGCATTTCTGACTTCACATATGTAACCTTTATACATATCTGGTTACCTACAAGATCTCAGCTAGTTTACTGTGTAATGATACATAATTAACTAAACCAACAATGACTGTTGTTCCATGTGCATGAAATTTGTAAATATTTCATTTTTTCATATCCATTCTAACTTGTAATAAACTTGTGCAATCTGTCCTTTTATGACTCTGAAACCATGCAACTACTCTACAAAGGTGTTGTTTGAAACTTCTTGGCCAAGCTACATGTTTTTTTCTTCAATTTGGAAAATGTGCTTCCAATTGTGTCAATGTGGCTAGCTTTCTGGGCTGATCCTGGGCTGATAGCATCAGAATCTTTGTCATTAGAACACCTGAAAAAATGGCAGCTGAAAGCATTGCACTTTTGCTGTTAGGTATCAGTTGATACCCTATTTAGCAGAAGCCTTGCAGAGTGGAGGCAGATGGTGGCGCACAAAAGTCCTGGTGAAGTTCTCTGGACCATTTCTAAATGAAGCACTGTTTCTTCAGGTGGTTTTTTTCATACTTGCAGATGATAAAGAAGGTTGCTGGGAGGTAAAGAACGCCCTTGCACACTGCTGCCTTATTGGGTCCATGTTTTAATTTTACATTTTGAGCCCAGTCAGCAAATACTCCAGAATAAAAATTGCTTTGCATTTGCAGTAATAATTAAAAGCTCATTTACAAATTTCAGAAAGTGTGTGCAGCGGTGTCCTGTGCAAGGAGTAGAATATACCCACAGGACAGCAGTCATTCTGGACAGGTTAGTCAGAAAATTCCTTCTCTGACAGTGATGTGAAGATGTTTGCTGACACCACAGTGTCATTGATTCCATATACTGGAAAACAGCAGCAGTGGGTCACCTGCTTGGGTAAAAATATACACAAGAGAGTAGCTGTTTTCCAACATGAAGGAGTCAAGAAGAAATTGTCCTGCGGTGAAAAAAGAAATGGCATCTCTGAGTGAAAGCATAAAAAGGACAGTTTGCAGTGGAAGTGGTGGATGAAACCTGCAATCCAATTTGAGTTTACCGTCTGCAAAGGAGAAAATTACATTTTTGAGCTGCTATAGATGGTATGGGTGGAGCAGAATACATGGCATCTATTTATAGTGTGGCTCAAATGGAAAAATGTGGCAGCTGACAATGATCTAAGTGTTTCCTAGACTCAGCCAGTAAGGGACAAGAGTGTGAAACCCTATGAAACTATAATGTTTATGCTCACACTCCAAATATAACCATCTCTGAGGAATTAAGAATATTAAGTGGCTTTACACATCAGGTCATGTTCCTGAGCTGTGGAATGACCCAAGTGCTATAAGCAACTTTTCATGCATGGAGGAGTTAGTCTAGGAAAGCACTTGCTTTTCAAAAAACTTTACGAGACTACATGACCCTTAAGATGTGTATGGCATAAAAGACAAAGGCCACTTCTTCACTTTTAAAGCACTGTTCCTGAATGACCTGCTGAAAATCTGATATATTTGTGACTTAGCAATGATTCTTTTAAGATTAGTGAAAGTATAGCTTCATTCTTTTACTGTTCAATAGAAATTAGAAAGCAAATGGCAAAAGTAAGAGTTCTCTTTTGGGTTTCTATTACCTTTTTTGGGTAAACTATTCATTTTTTCATTTAAATTGGTTTAATAATCTTCATCATGTCAAATGGGAATCCGTGGTAACAAATTACAGTCTTTACACATCATAGTTCTCAGGATTCTTCTGAGAAAGCATAGCTGTTAAGCTGGAAAAGTGCTGATGTAAGTTGGTAGTGTAGGCAGGTAATTATTTTTGTTTCAATATAGGAATATATCTATCCCTACTTATTGGCAAGACCTGCAACAAGTCTTTCTTAACCTAAGGCTACCTGGACTTATTCACACATGCAATTTTAATTCACTTACCATCCATGCTGACTTTATTCATCCATGATAAAATGACAAGGCAGGAATGGCAGTACCTAATGGCCATGCTAAACTTGGATACCCGTTTAGTTTGTTATCCCGATACTCAAGTTTGCATTACTCAGAATCTGGGAATCAATTCGCACAACACAGTTTGTTTACAATTTAAGTGCATATACATATCCTGTTAATGCAAACTAATCAGGTGAAGAACCCATCATCTGCTGAGGGTCAAACCATAAATAACATTCAATGCCTGTAAATTCTTCTCTTTCCCATTCACTTACATACACACTCCATTTATAGTTTTTTGTAAGGAGCTAGGTCCTAATCTAGCTCTAGTCACATGCAATAGCCAGTGGATTGCATGACTATCCATATTCTTTTAAGCACCAAAGCCACATTCTGTGTAGCACAGTGAAATAGATGTGGATGTGTATCCTGAGATGCAGAGCTGAATGCACCCAAGTCTGCCTGCATGAGCTGGGTTGGTGTCCTTGCTGGGTTGGCATAATAAGATGTACGATACAAGATGTCAATAGTATGTATTTTGGAGTTCTTGCTAATAATGTTGGTCAAAAAATTTTAGTTGTATACTAAATAATATAAGCTCATAAGCAAATTGGACATACAAAAGAACAAGGAAATCTGACAATCTACTTGTAACTACTTCAGATCATTCAATATCCAAATATTCACCTTCACATTCTCCAGGAATTTGGATGTTTCTTTTCTTTCTTTTTTCTCTTTTTAGTTCTTTCTTTAGAATTATATTTCACATAGCATTAGTTTTATGTATATTAATAGGTCACTTATAGAATACAGAGCCAGTATGGAGAGTTGTTTGCTGGATTAAGAATGGCAGCCATTTCTACTGATTATGATTAGTATTGCTTCTACTGCCACTTTCTTGCCCAGGATAAAAAATATGTACACCATTCAAGAAAACTTAGATGAAATGTCCGATAGATGAAACAATCTACCCATTGGAGGGTAATAGTAACTCAATGTTGACTTTACCAACATTTGCCAAATAGTATGGAATTTATTTGTTTGTAAGTATTGTTATCTTAAGATTTAATGAAGGAAGCCCCTCATGCACATTTTCTGGAAAAGAAGATAGGTCACATCCAATATTGTGTGACTATGCCTCCCATATTCTACAGAAGTTCCTTCAACTCATTGGAATCCATTTGGAGTAACAGATTTTTAGAGGTGGCTACAGAAGAGAGGAGACATCCATCTTGTAGCCAGACACTGCTCAGTGTCCTACATATTTCCAGTGTAAAATTGCAACTATAATATGCACAAAATTACAACTAAAATTTTAATATGCATGGAAGTAGATTTTGGCTTTTGCTACTAGGGAATTAAGCAAGCAAAGGGGTGCTGCACATAGAAACATAGAAACAGAGCGAGTCAGAAGGGGTCTCCTGGGCCATCTAGTCTGACCCCCCGGCTCCATCCAGCTCCGCTCATGACATGCCCACCATGTGCACATCCAGCCTATCTTTGAACACCCTCACCGATGGGGCCTCAACGACCTCTCATGGAAGCCCATTCCACACCCTCGGGGTCCTAACTGTCAGGAAGTGCTTTCTGGCATCCAAATTGAACCTTGGCTCCCTGAGCTTTGCTCCATTGGAGCGCAACCTACCTTCCTCTGCAGGCGAGAACAGGTCTCTGCCCATCTCCATGTGACATCCCCTCACATACCTGTATGTCGCCAACAAATCCCCTCTGAGTCTCCTCCAGGCTGAAGAGACCCAGTTCCCTCAGTCTCGCCTCATACCTGCAAACTGTCCACCAACCTTGTGGCCCTCCGCTGCACTGACTCTAACCTGACTATATCCTTTCTGTAATGAGGGGACCAAAACTGAGCACAATACTCCAGTTGCGGGCGCACCAGAGTCGTACAGAGTGGTAGTAATACCTCTCTCAATCTAGAAGCCACACTTCTGGCTATGCAACCAAGGGTGGCGTGCGCCCTCTTGACCACTGCATCACACTGCTGACTCATGTTCAGCCTGCAGTCAACCAGTACCCCGAGGTCCCTTTCACAAGTGCTGCTCTCCAGCCACTTGCCCCTTAACTTGTACTTATGACACCTGTTCCTATGCCCCAAGTGCAAGGCCTTGCACTTATCCACATTGAACGCCATCCTGTTGTCTCCTGCCCACTTCCATAGTCTGTCCAGATCCTTTTGGATCTGGAGTACCTGCTCCTCAGTTGTGGCCACTGCTCCAGTTTTAGTATCGTCTGCAAATTTGATCAGCAGACTGTACACCCCTTCTTCCATGTCATTTATGAAAAGATTAAACAGGATTGGCCCCAGGACAGAGCCCTGGGGGACTCCACTTGTCACTGACCACCATCCCGATGATTCCCCACTAATGGTTACCCACATAAGTGGTTCCTGAGGATCTCTGAATTCAGCTGAATCTCTTGCTCTTGACATTAGACTATGAGGAATCACACAATTCCAAACAGGAAGTAGCTGCTTGAAGTGAGAATGAAATGTGGACACGTGGAGTTGGGAAGGCCTTGGTTTCAGGCCCCCATACTGGAAAGGGGTACACTCAGGATCCCATGAGCAGTGCTATCCCTCTCTATGAATGGCAGGATCCCTGAACAGGAATCCCTGAACTAAGTTAACACTATACAAAATAGTCCAACTAGAAACCATGCAGTGAAAGCAGATAAATCAGAAACACAAAAAGATAACATCACAGATTATTTAGATTATAGAGAATAAAATTTATTTGCTATAAAATCAGTTTTATTCTTCCTTGTTTTTCCACCCTATTAAAAAAAAGTTTGCTGAACATCTGCTGAATGTTTGGATAAATCGGTCTTTCTGCATGTAATCACTGTAGCACACAATTCCAGAACATCAAGAAATGACAGTCCTTAGGGGCTAAGAGAATAGAAATTCTGCCCTGAAGTTTGCTGTCTGATTAATGTCAACTGTCTAGGTAGCCTGCCCTTCTGAAGCTTTCCTGACATGCTTGGTACTTTAAGAAGCAATCTTATGCATGTTCAGAGACAGAAAAAGGTCTACACTCCCACCATGTCCCAGCCATACATAGGATTGAGCTCTTAATGTCTTAGTGGCTATAGGTTCTGATGACTCCACTAAGAGGGAAAGTTGTGCAAGTGGGGGAAATAAGTCATAGCTGGTATTCCACCTTACCAGATAATACACTGGATTTGGGAGACACGTGATACTGCTAACATGGTACTCACCAACTTGAACTGGGCAAAATTATGCAATGTCAGACAAAGTAAAATGACAGTTTATCTTGTACCTGACCATTAAAACAGAGAAAGAAGAAAATGTATGCTTAATTCAAAGACTTCAGTAGCTCATTGCATTTGTGAATTCTAGTCCCAGTTCCATGCGGGGGTTTTTTTCTCTGAACTCTGATCCAACTGGACTGGCATAGATGTCTTACATGCCACTCTTTAAGGCCACATCTTGTTGGTTCTGTGTCTCATCAATTGCCAGGAATTCATCATGTGGCCCTGTGTGGTCCCCTTGCTTCTCGTTGTGTACCAAGTGAACCATTTCATGAGATTTACTGGCTTCTCCGTTCAATCCACCCATGTTTTTCTCCTCTATGCCTCCTTTGCCATTGTTGATCACAAGCTTCTTCTTCTGCCCGCACCTAATGGAAGAGGATGGCATGGGAAATCAAAGTGCACAATAGCTGTTTGAAAAACAATGAACTAAATCCCAAGGCTTTTGTCTGGGACAGCAAACTTTTTTCAAAATGTGAACTGATTATTTGTTAGTGGGTAAATGTATTTGTTGAGCCTAAATTTTTATTTAGCACAAAAAGAAATCATAGTATTCTGATGTGTTAGCTTAATTGGGAATGAAAAAGAAAAGACTGAAGTAGTCTTTCCTTTTAATGACTGCCTTCCAATCATGTAATTTGGAACCCGCCTAGGGTGCCATGTGGCTAATAGGGCAGGCAGGAAATCAAATAAATAAATAAATTTAATGAAGGAACGGGAAGTAACACTCATTCCTACTGCGGAGTCAGCACCTCTGTGCACGGAACACATATATGGCTCATATGTATTGTTGCGAGATTTCTGTTACTGCAACTAATCACAACTTCCATAAATGCCCTTCAAGTGTGAAATATGTGCAACATGAGACTTATTTCTTGCTGGTTTTTAGAAAACAATATTTCTCTAGAGATATTTTCTTAGCAGATGCATATTTTGCAGTTTTGTTTTTAAAAATATTTGGAATGGAATGTATTTGAGATTGATCCTAAAAGCTACACTGAGCTTCTGGACATGCAGTTCAATGTTAAATCCCAGCAAGAAATATGAAAAGATGAAACAAGCAATTATAAAATCAAGCAATATATCACACTGTGTTGCTCATGTTCATACCCTGTGATCTGATGAAATCAAGGTAGAGAGACTACAGCTACTGAACCACACTGTAATAAATTGGAGCTCATATAGAGGATTAGGAATTCTCCAGTTGCTATCACTGGTGAAGGCATTACCTAAAACACTTCTTGGATCGCACCTTGTTTAAAGGAGTTTGGTACACGCTAAATGAGTTTATTTGTCCATTTCTCTCTGTCTCTTTGCCTCTATTTCTAAACCACCCTATAGCCAATGCTCTTAAGTAGCAATATGTTAGTAATCCAGATGGGTTCCCTCAGCTGGTATCCCTGGGCTCTGGGCCACATTCTCTCTGCCCTAAGTTCACCACACACTGAACACATCTGCATGGGCAGGCAGGAGGAATAAAATTGCAGTGAGTCTGTGAGGCCAGCATGCCCACATTCTGCCTGCTGGCCCCTGTGCAAGCAGAGTTCTGCTTCTGCACATAGGACTTGCAAGCTTTGTGTATCCATATCCTGTGCAGGAAAGGGTCTGCTAGCACTTCCAGTCATTCCCTGACATTCTCAGATTGGCTAGCTTCCTGGCCAGAGCTAAGAGCAAGAAAGACGCCCGATGCAGTGCAAGGGAGCCACATTCCAACTGGATTTTCACATCACTTGTCTCAAGTATGCACTGAAATACCATGTCCCTGTGTCAGATTTCCCGTAAACACATCGAGATAGAGACTTCTCTTATACCTTGCAAAGCACTGTGTGCACTAATGACACTACCTAAATTATGACTGTTGTTATTAATCATCACCACCACCACCACCACCACCACCACCATCAGGATGGAAAAACAGGTGCAAACACAAGTCACAAATATTAGGGATGCATTTGATTTTTAACTGAAATAATTTTAATAGCTTCAGAGGATGTTGCAATCAATACTAAGTGCATTTGTATTTTCAGATCATACAAAATGCCTCCCTGTAAGAAGCAATCAAAACATCTATCCCATTTGCCCCAGCAGTTATAAACAGTCTCAAAATAGCCATCAGCCTAGATCATCAAAGGAGGTGGGGAGGAAGGGATGAACAAACCTTCCCAACTTTCTTTGATGTCAAGCAATTTTAGCATGTATTCTCCTTAATGAATTACAAAAAATACATTTTCTGTAAGGTACAGAACCCTATTTGCTTGCATGAGCTATGAAATCTCACTGAGTCATTGTTCACAGAAGGTGTACTAAATAATCTATCTACTTGGCCTCTAATACTTGAATTAATGGTCCTAGAAGCCAGGGAAGACAATGTGATTCAAAGGTCTCCCCCTGACTTCCTGCATTAATATCAAATCGTGGTATTTCTGTTAGCTTCTAAAAGCCATCATAAAAGGCAGGGAACTGGAGATGAAAAAGGAAACAGAGGGTTTGGCTTACAGTGCAATCCTATAAACACATATCTTGGAGTGGACCCCACTGAACCCAGCAAAGCTTGTCCTGAGTGGACATGTGTAAGATTTTAATTTGAATGGTAAAACATGAACTGCTCAGGCACACTAAAACCCCAGGAAATATTTCTGTCTATATCTGTCTCTGCTAGACTTTAAAGCATGGTTATTAATTTTTAGTATGGAGCATTTAAATGCCTGACATTCTAAAAAAAGCTATGTTTTCAATTAGGAAGCAGTAGTTTCTAATTTATTGTTGGCCATGTTTGAGGAGATGCTATATACATTTGATCATGGTTGGAAGAAGTTTGTCTATTACTTTAGAGGCAAAGGAAGACTATTAGAAAAGAAGCTGGCAGATTCTATTTTGGAAATCAATACCATCGCTATAGTAATAACAGATATTAGCATAAATTAGTGAACTGTAACATGCACAATCAAATTTATGGATCAAGTTACAGAAAGACTAAACCAGAAAGAAATATTTTGAATCTTAACTGTTAAGACAAGCAAATATTCTGAAGTGGGAGATAAAGTTACATTATCTAAATGCATCCATGCAATTTGGATAGGATAGGGGCCAAGGTGGTCACTTGTAACCCATATTTAGCAAATGCAACCTTTCAGGAAAGTCCTATCAACAATTTCAAGGTATAGCTGCCTTGTCTTGACTGAAATTGGGAAGTATTACATGACCATCTGGAATGGGAGGGAGACAATGCTGAACTTATCTACTGCATGGTAATTTTCATGTGGGGTGAATTTGTCATTATGTACCCCACAATAATTTTTCACTGAGGTTACTGGAGCGCCTCTTGCCTAAACAAAATGCAAGGCTTTGTGGCAGAAAGGATGAATGCACAGCCACTTTAAAGATGGACAGGTAGAGGTAATTTCTGACAGAATTTTGGGTTTGGAGATACAGTTATAAAGGCAGAGTGTCTTTAGCTGAATGACAGTATTTAAGAGCAGACCTGTTTCATTTCTTATTTAACTTACAGGGTGCTTTTCAATAAGGTTCCCATGAAGGAACAAGGTACATGTTCTTCTAAAGAAGTCAGATATGAAACTGTGCCAGCCATAAGACAAATAGAAAGTTCTGGCATCACCAAATGGAGTTTACAAATTGTGCTGCTTACCTCCTTCGACTGTTAACAGCGATGCAAACACCAAGTATCAATGACAGAGCCAAGAGGGAAGCTACTACAATAAGCCAGTCTGTGGGTAGAGAAAAGACATGGAAACATTCACTTGTCATCTGACTAGACAGCGGCCAGAGTATCTTTAGCAATCCCTCCCTACTTCCTTGTTTTCTTTACCATTTGTAATAACATTCTCATCCCTTATGAACCTCCTGTCTATACTGGCTGTTATATGAATGAAACCATGCCCAACTGTGTGGCTAAATTACTGCACAGAGATCCACTGCAGATACTGTTAACTCCTTGAATCTGCCAAAATGCCCCTGGAAGCTATCCACGTCAGCAAACAGCACTGATCATGCGACAGCAAATTCCATGGCTCATCCGTTATGTGAAATGCTTCCTTTAATCAGTCCCCACAAACACAGAAATGAGTGTGCTCCTTTAAATCAGGAGTGAGTAGCTACAGAGGCCTGGAGAACTGCATTGTACCCTTCGCAGTCTTCAGGGGCCATATCCCTCCTCCATCATAGCCACAACCAGTTGTAACTTAAAGGGCTGCATGGCTGTATTCCCAGAAACGGTGATGGCAAGCAAGGCTAGTTGGAAGATTGCCCCTTGTTTCTATGCTAGGGTTTTCCAAGTTTAAGGTAATGAATCAGGCATCCCCAACATGGCACATTCTAGATGTGCTGGACTATAACCAGTGCTTTTCCTGTCATAGAATGCACCAGAACGGAGTTCTGGCACCTTTTTTCAACAGATTTTCCAAGTTTTAAAAGTAACTTTTGAAAATTTGATGTTTGGGCCACATGGATTTGAATCGTCCTGTTGAGCATAGCAGGTCGGCGGCAAAATCATTGAAACGGTGCATGCGGGCTGCTTGTGTGTTGAATCCGGTGCATGCGTACTTCGTCCGCACAGGTTGTGATGGCACTGCTCGGCTTGTGGTGCTGCTCGGCTTGTGATTGGTCATGTGGTCGCGCGCTGAGTGCTTACTGAGGGCGGCGACCGTTACGTCTTGTTACACAACTGATGTGTGTGGCTGTGTGTACAGTGCTTGACTACGTGCGAAAGGTAAATAATTTCATGAGTTCCAGCACCTTTCTTCTTACAAAAAAAGCCCTGACTATAACCCCCACCATATTGATGCTGGCAGGGGATAATAGATGCTGCAGTCCAACGTATCTGGACGACAACATATTTGGAAAGGCTGCCCTAAGTGCAACTACGTGGAAGTGGGCATCACTGAAAATATGGACCGTGTGTCCAATTCAGTGTCAAAGCATTGCTCACATTTTTGTTGCTGTTTCCTTCTGAACTGAACTTGTATATATTTGAACACACACACTTGCCTTGCATTTAGTCCACTGGTCTGTCTAGTACAGTCTTTGCGTCTCTGCCTGGCAAGAGGTGTCAAGATGTGAGCTCTCTCTCAGCTCTGCAGCCTAAGAGCCATGGATTTTAATTCCCATTGCATAAATGAAATGAACAAATGAATGACTGTTTACTGTAGCACATACAGAGCATGTGCTCAGCCACCCATCTGAATGGTGAAATTGAGATGTGTGGCACAGCCCAAAACGGCTTCCTGATAGATACAGATAACAGAAGTACAGTAACTGACCTGGTATGTGAGCCCTGCGTGGTTGGCTTTTTGGTGGCTCTCCTGGAACAGGTGAGTCATTGTCTGACACAGCCCCTCTGTTCCCGTTTTTATGAGAGTCAGGACCTAGATGAAAGACATATATTACTCACAGATATAATGTTATAGCTGTGGTATATGAATCCAAAGCTTATGAGCTGGCATTTTCACAGATAAATACTATCATAATGTCAAGAGAAACACAGGAAGTGGGCCATTCAAATTTCATAACATGACCACAGTTTTCTATCACCTTGAAAGAGATTGGAAAAAGATTTGCAACAGCATTTGAGTCCCGCAGAAATCACAGCACCAGCCTGATGAGCCATATGTGTTTATGGAGGTGAATCACATGTTGGGTTTGGAGTCTACCACAGTAAGAAAGCTGCTTTTGTCAACCATTTTAAAAAGTTCATCTCTTTTCCTTTGCAACATTTTGGGGAGCCATAATAATGACAGCAAATGGGGCATTCATAGATTGAAGTGCAGTACTTATTCTGTGATGTTTCCACTTGAAGTCCTTTTTGAGATTTGAATTTGAATATGTAGTTGAAGCCTAGCAGAATACAAATGGCCAAGGAAGGCAGACTCAAATCCAAAACACACCTTTGTAGTGTTATTCACCCATGCAATTCAGGTCCAGCTTGCATGAGTTAACACTAATGTGCAGTATTGGTGATTAATATGAGCAGTCTAAAATCTAAGAAGATACATTTCATATTAAGAGTAGGTACATTAATTTCAGATGTCAGAGCTGCATGGATTGGTCTCTGAAGGATTCCAGCATGTGAGTGTCTAAATATCACACTGGGGATGTCTTTTGGGTAGCCCCTGGCCAGCAAATCAAAATGGACCAGCACAGACCACCCCAAATAAATCACCCATTCATGATTACAAAGTTGAGACAGAAGGAAAGAATTTGCATCACCAAATATCATCTACAGCAGATCCATTAGACAAGCCTTACATTATATTTGCACACACAGTGCCACTCTGAAACTGGACAAAACTTAATATGAACCCTAACCCCTCATCTGAACCCTGAAAGGAATGACTTTTGCCTGGTACCTGTATTGCTATCATTTAAAAAAGCAGATGAATGCCTTTTAAAAAATTCCCAGGCATTTTGAGGTGAAGGTGTGATTATTTTATCACTGTTAGTGTTTCAACAGTGATTATCCTTTCAATTTTCTTTGTTTTAATTTTCTGAGCTGTCCTTAAAATACTTACATTGAAGGGTAGCATAGACCATGTGTGTGAGTTTTTGAGTGTGTGTGTTTGTGTAAACAGAGAAAACTTTGAGTCAGAGAAAGATGGTGTTTGCAGCAAGGGGTGTTCTTCTGGAGGCTGGAAATACAACTTCCAGAATTCTGCATAAAAACTCACATTCTGAGCTATATTTCTGCAAGGAAAAAGATTCTGCATCCATTCCGAGGTGCAGCTAGTTACCAGTTAGTTAACTTCTATATCATCCAATAGCCAAAGCTCTCCTATTTCTTCAGGGAAATAGGTCTTACTTCTTCCAGAAGGAAAAAGATGCTTCACTGGGAATTGGCATTCCCCATCATCGTGTGGGCTGCCTCCTCTTCACTTGGGCATTGGGCTAAACAGTGATAACTGGAGTAGTTCTGTAGTGTTTAAGCTAATACAGGAAAACAACCCATCCAGAGATTCCAGATGTTCAGTTTTGATCCCTTTTTTGGGCAAATGTGAGAATGATCAAAGTACACATCCATCCATCTCCACATAGCTCAGGTTAGCATCATGGTGTGTACTGAAATATGCATTTGGTTTGTATTTCTATCTGCATTTGTCACTTATGGCTTGGGAACTCATCTGATGTCCTGAGGCACTCATTGTCATCTTAGTCATTTGATACAAATTAAAGATGATTTTGAAAGCAGCAATAGGGAACTCTTTTCTCCTAAATTTCTAGTTTATGTGGTTAGCCTATTTAATTAGCTAGCTCTGTGTTTGGAGTTTTTTTGTGTAAAGTTTCCCTATAACTTTTTGGCCCAAATTAGAGTCCCATAATACACATTTACATGTGATACATTTACCTATTCCCACACAGGTGAAAAGGTGTTATCTGTCAGTCTGTCTGTAGAGATATTTATCGGACGATTTATTAATTAATCCCTCATTTGAAAGAAGCCCCCAAAGGAAAGAAAGCCAGAAAAAAATTATCCATGTCCCCATGAATGTTGAGTGATTGTTCAAAACTAAAAATCTACTTTCTGGTGCAAAAGCATTCACCAAATATACTCTAGTCATGCAAGTCTGTCAGAAGCTACATAAGATAAGCATATTGTATTCAGAGCAAGATTTCCATTAAGTTTGTACACCAGATTTCCCCACATTTGATGCATTGAAAAGGAAAGATTCAGTTGAAGTTCCTGGAATTTTTAACTCTTACTAGCAATAGTAGGAGATGGAGGTCTGTCAGAACCACTGTCCATTTCAGGAAAAACTCCTGGTATGATATAATCCTGAGTATTGTTTACAAGACGTTCATCTTCATTGCTCCATCCATGCAACTGTGGATCTTCTGTTGATTTGGCTCCATCTCTGGAGACCACAGCTGTTGTAACAATGGTTGAACCAATTGTGAGCTCATAATTTACAGAATCAAAAATGTTTTCTGCCAAATTCCTACTGCCCCAAAAGTTTCAAAAGAGGAAAATGAAGATGGCACATATTGGTTGAAGAAGAAAGACAGAAAAAATAGTTTCCAATTCTGATTGGTTACTGAAACCACACTGTGCTGTTGTTGAAAGTCAGTTTATTACAAATCTCAAGTAATAAACAGAGAAGCAAGTGAGGAATCAGTAACAAGAAATACCCTGTATTTTAGATATAAGCAGCAATGGGAGGAAGAGTTGTTTTCCATCTTACATTTTTAAATGATGCCACTGTAACCCTGCATACATAGAATTATATAAAAGAAAATTCAGGCATCCCAGCCTCTAACAATCTAATTATTTCAACATTGCAGTTTAGGAGGTGGCATTAGGTTTAAAGGCATTAAACTGTTATTGTGGGGCTTGTATTATTATCACTATCGCTATTGTGACTATTATTATTGCCTTAAGAAATAAACAAACACTGTCCCAGTTACATTTGGATTTTATCTTCACAGAGATAAATATTTTATCTCAGGGCAATAACTTCTATCAGCAGTGCAGAGAGTCCAAACCACATGCCAGGAACAACAAAACAGCATGAATACTAATTGCTCTTACCACCAATATGACAGATGCTCTAATTGCTTAGGCGCTATCATACCTTGCGCAAAAAGTACTAGCAACTGCTGCAGTGAAGTAAGCAAATTGGTAAGAAGGATGACAAAAGGACTGTCACCTCACTACATTATCACGTCTGCTTTTGTTCAGAAGCTTACAGCTTAATATTAATCTTGGAAGTAATGAAGGTAGTTCTGAAAGAAATTACTAGGCTCTAAGAAGTATGGCATGCAAAATACTAAAATACAATGAACATATTTTGTGAAGTATCGTTAGCCTGCATGCTATGAAACTTGTGAAAGCAGAATCATTAGCTGGGAAAGGGAGGAGTATGTGATTCAAACAAAAAATACATACAATACCAAACAAGGGGGGAAATGACTCCAGAAACACAATACGAGAGCACAAAAAACCTGCTCTGGGAGACTTATCGGCTAATGTGGCAGGATAAAAATCCAATAAATAAATAAATGGGGAAAAAGCCCTAGAATTTTCCCGGCCAGTAAAGCATAGGGAGTGCTATGAATAGTAGGGTTTCTTCTGTCCAAACATACACATGATTTCACCCTATTTTTTTAAACTATCTGTATAAATTATACACAATTTTCAAAATAATAGGCATAATAGGTCCTGGCATTAATTGAAAAATAGCTAATTCACTCACAACTTGATAAGTTATGTTCTAAGGATGCAGAATCCCTAGCAAATAACATCTGGGGAGCCAGAGGTCATCAAAAAGGCTGTTGCCAATTGCAGCAGCCCAAAACACCCCAAAAACACCCCAAAAGTAATGGGCCAGAGGAAGGCCCCAAAAGTAGTTGGCCAGAGGAAGGCCACATAGTAAAAACACCACAGTAATACTGTTCCAGAAGGGAGGGGGGATAAGAACAAAATGAACTTAGTGTAACCCACAGCTAACACGCCAGCCTGACCTCGAATACAGTAATCAAAGGGACAGTGGAAACTGGTTCTAGCCGCCATGAAAGTTGCAAATGTGCAGGGAGTAAGAACATGGCAAGGCTGCTTGAATTTTGAGCAGATAAGAAATAGACATGGGAAATGTCCAGTCCTTGACAGAAGAAAATACTCTTTGAAACTAACAGCAGTGGGGGTGTGACTACATTGATGGATTGATACAGTAGAAGTGTATTAGGTAACCTAATTGGTTACCTAGGGTATAAAATGCATGTACCAGGGTGCAACTTTCGAGACACTGTTTTGGGCTTACTGTCCCCCTTTGTCTCCCTTTATTCTATAGTGCACTGGAATAAAGTTGGTTTTGGCTCCAAGTCTCGTCTCAGGCTCCTTTTGGCTTGAGTCTGGGGTCCACCTGGGTTTGCCCTAGCTGTTGAGCGATAACAAGGCTATGGCTATTGCAACAAGCATACATGTTCTGGTATGCACATATTCCCTGGCCACATGCTCTTTCTTCCATACAACCATGGGCAAACACCCTCAATTTCATAAGTAATATAGAAACATTCACAGGATTATTTATTTATTTCATTTATTACACTTCTACTCCACCAAGAGCCAACATTTTCCACCAATATCCCTATAAAGATATTATAGGAATTTTGACACGAGAATTTAGATCCTAAATTTAAAATTACGAAGTAGTTGTTGTTAGTTTTCTGATTGGTTGTTTTCTGATTATGTTTTCTTATTGCACAGTCACTAACTATTGACTTCAGCTCAATATTTCCATCAATAAGCTTAATCTGTGTAGCTCTGTATGTTATGATCTCCTTAGATTTCCTCATAAAAAGAGGTTGTAAGAGTCGAAATCAGTTTCAGATCCTCAGCCTCTCCAGTGCAAAGAATGACATACATCACACTCTTGGGATGCATGAGATTTTTTACACACTATATATACAGATGGAAACAGAAGATTGTCTCACCTAATACAGACAAGGGTAAGAAAGATCCCACCACCATTCTACTGGATACCTGTATGATCGGTTTTATTTTTTTTATTTATTCCTCTTCGAGGAACAATTCCAGGAAATGAGATATCCGCTGTAGATTTTGTTGTGTATTGGTCTTCACTACCCCAGTGACTCACAGGTTCTGGGGTGGAATCTTCTTTGGTCCCATCATAGACCACATCTATGGCAATGGTAAATTAAGAATGTGACATTTGAAGAAACTATTATTTGTATTTCATTATGAGCCATCAATCTCTTATTCTTCTAGCCAAGTATGACCAATATACAAACAACAGATTAAAATGCACGCCAGTCACCTTTGCTACAAGTTGCTACAAGTTGAATATAGGACAAAGCGGGTCGGTCTGACATTGGCAGTGAGCCCCAACCCACCAATTCGCTGCTGTCTTCTCCTTAATGTTCTTCTCGGACACTTTCCCAGATTACTAGATGATACCGACAACAGATTTGATAATGGGGATTCTAGAGACTTGACCATGATATTTGTATTATTCACACTATTGACGGGTGAGCAAACAATTCAGAAGCTATGAACAAGTCACTACCAGGTGTGATTAAACATCTATCAATGGCTGATGACTATTTTCTTTGACTTTCCATTCTCTAAACAGTGCCCACATTTGGCTGCAAGTATTGTCCTGATCTTAACTTGCTCCAATTGCATTGTACAGTAGTCCCCCGCAATTCACGGGGGTTACATTCCTAAAGCATAGTGAATTGTGAAAAACCACAAATTTGTTGCCGGCGATAGACGCCAGCTGCCAAGGTGGTGCAGGCGGGAGGTGCGGGCCGGGCCGGGCTGGGCGCACGCACGTGGCGAGGCAGGGGAGGGTGCACACAGAGATCGTTTTCTCCAAGCAAGTCCAAACTCAGAGGAAACAATCTCCTTGTGAGTAAGCCACTGCATGGTGAGGTGCTGGCTTATTTGCAAGGAGATCGGCTTGGAGTCGCTTGGAGAAAAATTCCGTGAAAGACTGAAGCCGTGAACGCAGAACCGCGACTTCATGGGGGTATACTGTAGTTCAGATGGTTACCAAATGACCATTGTAGCAAATACCACTATATGAACTTGGACAATTGGCAGATGCACACAGTCATCATAATGAACAGAATATTAGGAGTATCAAGAAGACAAATCAGATTCAGAACCACTTCTTTATGTCTATATATGATTACAGTGTAATAGCCAACTGAAGTCACACCCTATCTGTCATCTTAACAAGATAAATCATCAGAATAGGGCAGGTCAGGCATGTGAATCATTGACAGAACTTGATACTAAACAGCAGAGCTAAACATTAGTCAATGTGCGATAACGAAATACATGCTATATTCAAAAATCTGTAGTACACTTCACCAATTATAATAAGATGATTATCCAGTGAAATACCTGTATGTAAAAGATCGTGTTCATTTTCATTACCTCCCATGAGTACACCATCTCTAGAAGTATTACTGAGATATTTTTCTTCTGTGTCCCAGCCTGGCTGATGAATAGGAGGTAATGGCTGTTGAGTTGAGTCTTCATGATCATTGTGAATGACAACTGTTTGATGAATCAATGATGTACTTAGGTTTGGATATTTAAAATATAAATTGTTGCCCTGCCAAGGCCAACCTCCACCCTTTGACTCATTGCCCAGTATTTTCAACTTCTTCCATTAATATGTCCAGTGCAAGAACTTTTCTTTTTAATACAGTTTGTGTAGAAGATATACTTGGTATATGGACATTCTTATCTAGTTAGTTAGTTATTTCCTATAGCGCCCAATAGTCAGAGCTCTCTGGCTGGTTTACAACTTTACGTAAAAATGCAATATAAAACTACAAAAACATTTAAAAAAAGTTTCCATACAAAATTTAAAACCAAAATACAATGCACACAAAATTACAATAGCCTATATAAATTGATCAAACTGTTTAAGAAACTAATCTGTTTAAGGCACTAACAAAGCCCTCACGCAACTAATCAAATGATCTGCAACAGAGGACATTCTTAACCTGGTGCTGAAAAGATACTAAAGTTGGCAACCGGAAGGCCTCAGTGGAGGGGGTCACTACATAACTGGAGTGTCACTACTGACAATGCCCTTGTCCTTGTTGCCACCTACCAAGACTCCCTTGGAGGTGGCAATCAGAGGCAGGTCCCAGAACTTGAATGTAGAATCTTAGCAGAATGTGGTTGGGAGAGACTTCCCATCAGATATTGTGGCTCCAAGCCATGTGGTCCCATTCACCAAATAAAACTAAGAACCTAGTGGTGATCAATGATGTACCTAATCTAAGCGATTCCCAAACCCCACATAATTTAGACTATATTTTCCACTACTACCTGTATCAATGGTTTTCTCTTCATAGTTCTGTTTAGTTGGAGGAACAATTCCTAGTGATTCTTCATCTTTTGTGCCATTTGTGAGAACTTTGTCTTCTTTACCCCATTCATGATGCACTTCATGCATAATTGAATCATGAGTAGCATCTTCATCTTTGGATATGGCATTATCTTTGGATCCCATAACTGTTATAATGGTGATTGGATAAATTTTAAATGTACTGTACAGTCACTTCCCATATAATTTACTTAGATTAAAATTTGAAATTTATTAATATTCTTAGTGGAAAACCACTGTGAAAATTTAGTAGCAATCAGCAGGAATTTAGTACTGAGTTAAAGAAAAAGCTACAAATAATCAGAAGAAAAAAACAATATAATTAATATGGTATCTAGCAACAGAAAAGGTGGAGTGTCTACCTCACAGTTCTTGTGTAGAACTTTATGATATGTTTCATATGTATTCAACATTTCTTTTGGAGAAATAATTTTAGGTATCAACAAGTTTTACCATAAATGGATCATGGGCAGAGTTTTCGTGGCTGATATAGCAACTAAAGACCTATGGTGTTGCAACAATGGTGAACTAAGGTTTAAATGGTACATTTGCATGGCCAAATCTCATCATTTACAAACCACTGGACAATGCCTTTCATATTTTGGTAAGTCTAGATACACAGTGAGATTTGTGTATTATTATGTCATTAACTGTACTTGAACAGCAACAAAAAGAATATTTTAATCTTTTATTTCTCACCAGTATCTATATGTGAGGTTTCCTTTTCATGGTTATTTTCAGATGTGGGTATAATTCCAGCTACTGAATCATTCGTTGATGCATTTGCAGAATGCTTATGCTCATCATTCCAACCAGGATGTGTCTCCTGGGTCAACGGATCTTGAGGAGAATCTTCATAGTTGTTGCCATTGAAGACCACAGCTGTTACAATATGGTGGATCATTTTTTATAATCACATTTGTTAAAATGAAATACTTTTAGTATAATATTTTGTACTAACAGTTATTTTATCCAGACTGTACTGGGTGCATTTTTAGGGAATGAAAATGAGCTTTGAGTAGCAGTTCCCCATACTGCATAATTATGGGACAATTCCAGTTTTGGAGCATAAATATCTAAATTCCCTTGACTGTACTTTTAGAAAAGTTACAGATGCCATCATGATTTTATTGCAGATTAATAGGACTCAAGCTGGTTCTTCAAAAGGAATGCCATTTGGAGAAACAGCGCATGGATATACAACCATGTTAGAATCCTACTTTCAGGAAGTACCTGTAGGAGACATTTCTTTTTCTTGTGTTCTTTCTCCTGGAGGAATAATTCTAGGTGGAATATCATCCCTAGTTCCATTCACAGCAGGGTGGTCGTCTTCACTGTCCCATCCAGGGTGCATGCCATCCACTACTGATACTTGCGTGGGCTCTTCATGCTTGCCATTATCACTGGAGGTAACAGCTGTTGCAATGATGGTTTGAATATTTTAAAATAGTAGATCTACATGATCCTTTTCCTCAATTTTGAAAAAAACTAAGTATTATGTATTGTTGAAATATAAATCTATCCTACCAGGACTTTACATATAATCCCATTTAATTTAGTGGTATGTTGTCTATGATTTACAGTTGAAGACTGAATAATCTTTCATCTTACATCAGAATGGAAATTATTTGAATTCTTTCAGCTGATGTCTAATGAGATGTTTTAGCTCCATAATTGCTTCACTTTTTAAGAATTATTCCAGTCAGGGAATTATTTCCATATAAAAATAAGGAACTATTGCAAACCACTGTGGTTGAAAACCAGTAAACAAATGTTGTAAATATTTGTTTTCATTGCACACACATCTCATAAACATGCGAATCGCAGGTAGTCTTCATGGCTGGTGCCTATTCCAATGATGGTCTGATCTCTTTTAAATGCCATGTTTGCATGTGTACTTCCCACTTTATTTACTTAGTATTCATCCAAAAGACATTGCTTCCTGTGGCTTAGCAAAAGCCCATTGATTAACCTAACTCATCTGGAAAGAAGGCAGAAAATAAAAAGACAAAGTGTACTATCCAATATAAGTCAGTCAGAAAAAATTATACAACTCCCAACCTTCTCCAGCCATTAAGGCTGGCAGGGTAATGCTGAGAGCTGTAAGATTTTTTTTTTAAATGTCTAAACATCCATAGAATCTAATATTTTCCCCAGCTGATACCTGTATCTGAAGGTTCTTTTTCATGCTCACTTTCAGCTGGATGAAAACTTCCAGGTAGTAAATGAACTTCAGATGTGTTTGTGAGATATTTTTCTTCACCATCCCATTCAGAATGTTCCTCGTGCAATACTGTGTCATGAGTAGAATCTTCAGAGTGATTAAAACCCCCAGAAACGACTTCTGTTACAGAGATGACCGTGTCATTTTTAACTTATTTTTTTCATAGTTTTACTAATGTTTACTTAGTGCTATTTTATGTCTCCATATGATGGAAAATGGAGGTCACTAATACTCAAACCATTAATTCTTGTGAAGACAGAATTATGTTCTATCTGAAGTGTATTCTATCTCTATATACACTCTACAGGAAAATCAAATTAATCTAGGCAAAATAATGATACATAAAAAGATTCTCTTTTCCTTATTGGTATCTGATTGTGACATTTCCTTTTCCTTTCTTTTTAGTTAGAGGGTAGATTCCAAGCAGCAAATTAATTCTAGATGACTTTGCAGGTTATTTGCTGTCATTGTTCAACCCAGCATGTCTTCCATTCATCATTGGACACGAACAGAATTATCATAGTATGTCAAGTCCATGGCTATTAGATGATGGTTGGATCAATTAACATGCTTTGCCTTCCATTTTACTGCACTGCATATAAACTCCCATTTCTGTCTGCTTGGTGCAGCTAATATAGACCATCTGTCTAGGAAAGCATATGCTACCATAAATTAGGCAGAGGGTAACAGAGGATTTAGTTTGCCACATGCTAAAATAGCTACACCTCTGGTATAGTAATAAATTATCATTCTGACTAGCTTTAGGCATATTTCATCTAAACCCAGTACAATTAACCATTGCTCTCAGATCAATCAATTGATCTCTGGTAATAGAATGTCCTGATACCTGTTTTAGATGTTTCCAAATCTTTTTTATGCTTGCTTTCACTTGGAGAAACAATGCCAGGGAGAACACCATCTCTAGATGTGTTTGCAAGATCTCTCTCTTCACTGCTCCCAGAGGGATGAAGCCCATGGATCAATATATCATGAGAAGGATCTTCATGTTCAGTGCCACCAGCAGCATCCACAACTGTTACAATGATGGAACCACATCCCTTATTACTTAGTGTCAACTATGTTGGTTGGGATGCAGCAGTATTTAAGGTTACAATCCCAATTCAGTGGAGTTAGGATTACACCCGTTTAAGAGAATAATAAATTCTCTTAACTGAGAAACACTGAGAGCCAGTGAGGTGTAGTGGGACTGGGACTCAGACGATCCGGGTTCGAGTCCCCGCTCAGCCATGGAGCCAACTGGGTGACTTTGGGCCAGTCACAGACTATCAGCCCAACCTACCTCACAGGGTTGTTGTTGTGGAGATAAGATGGAGGAGGAGATGCAAGCTGCCTTGAGCCCTTTGTAGGAAAAAGGCAGGATATAAATTGAAAAATAAATAAAATAAATAGAACAAGCTCTGTAACCATAACAAGAGCCAGTGAGGTGTAGTGGGCCTGGGGACTCAGACGATCTGGGTTCTAGTCCCCGCTCAGCCATGGAGCAACTGGGTGACTTTGGGCCAGTCACAGACTATCAGCCCAACCTACCTCACAGGGTTGTTGTTGTGGGGATAAGATGGAGGAGGAGATGTAAGCTGCCTTGAGCCCTTTGTAGGAAAAAGGCAGGATATAAATTGGAAAATAAATAAATAAATAAATAAAAATTGATTCAGGGTGAAGAGGAGTAAACTATTTTTGCTTTTTTTTTGGGGGGGGGGGGGGGGGGGAGATACCTGTATAAATGGATTCATTGTTTTGCTCATATTCTCTCTGAGGAACAATTCCAGGTAGCATCGGCTTGCCAGATGTGTTTGTGGGATATGTTTCTTCACTGTCCCATTCAGAAGACACACCATCTGGTAGTGGGTTTTGAGTAGTTTCTTCATGTTTTATCTCATCATTAGTCTCCATATCTGTTTTGATGATTAAGTATTTTGACAATTTGTATATGTAGAACTACTGCTTGAAATATTCTTTGGGCTTCTCTCTACATATAGTATGCAGTTCTATAATTTGTCAAGGATAGCACTCAACAAAATGAGCAAAAAGAATGCAATTTAGACTTCTTTATGAATGTCACTAAATCAAGCATTTCAATCTTTACTTTATGTATAAGCATTTTAAATAAAAGTGCTTATATAATCAGTACTTTTAATCCTGTTCATGTTAACCAAATTGTTTTGATTCATAAAGTAAAGAAGTTAAGTAATAATCCAGTTAAAATTCTTTAAAACAGCGAAAACATGAAATTGAGAAATGTAGTATCCTAGTTACTTTTTTGTGGCATATGTTAAACAAGTCAATTGTAGGTTTGGAAGTCCTAGTAATGACTATATATCACAGCTATTCAATTTGATTATATTTTCTGCCTTTACTTCTAACTTCTATGAGATAAAAGAAGGAAACTAGGGATAAGCAGGTGAAAATGAAAAGTGAAAAAATCTATGCACCAATAATGATAGTTCCATAATAAAGATAAAATGACATTTCTGTGCACAATTTCCTTAATGAGGCTCCAGCTGCTACCTCCAGGGGAAATGTGTCAGAAAATCTCATTAGTGTTAGAAGCAATGTATTTGAAGTATGTTGTTCACTATCAGTGCTTCCCAAATGCAGTAGAGATGCATGTGGTTGTAATATAACTCATGGAGAAAGCAAATAAAAGAAATATGCTCCTAGCACTTGTAGCCTAAACTATGATCCCAAGACTAATATTACTTTTAACAAAATAAAACTGAATACATTTGATCCAGTGTGAAACCTACATTTTAGATGAACCAAATGTGAGTTTTCCAAACAATTTTAGTATACCAAAATGTAATGGCCACCTCAGTAAGGAAAAAACTGAAAAACTGCCAAAAGAGAGATTTCCTAGTTATCAAACAAAAGGAAAATTTACAGAAAAGTTAAATTACAAACAATATTTATAGATAGATATTTCCAGTGCAACCAGTTCTATCTAAACTGCAAAAGATGTTTAGCAGCAGACTGGAATTATCAAGATCTAGGAATGTGCTCTTACAAGATTGGATAGTGAAAAGTAAAACAAGAACATTTTACTAATGTGTAAGAGAATGAAAGTGGTTTAAGGCTATGACTTTCTTTATGGATTCAGTCCCTCTCATGTTTTGTCTTCCTTTGGTTCTTCAGCCTTTGAGTTTTCCTACTCCTTTATTAACTGAAGGCTTTCTCATAATATTCTATGAAATCAAACTGATCTTAAATGTCCTAAACTCTGCATACTAGGATCTAGATTTTTGAAGGGTGTTAATAGTATCAGACTAATCTGTGACTGCAGGAGATCCATGAATGTACTGCAAACATCAGCATCAGCATGTATATAAATAGTTGTTCAGGACCATGGCACCCGATGTAATTTCCCTTTCCCCAGTAACAACTTACTCTTTTCAGAAGTGCCATTCATTCTGATAGGAAAAGCATATGAGGCCATAAGACAAGCTAGTTCAGATTTACTAGTTATCAAATAGAACTAAGAAGAATTGTCTTCTATATTGAAAACATAAGACTACATAAAGTCATTAGTTCTACTGGCAAGTACCTGTCTGAGAAGACTCATTTTCATGTTCATTCTTACTTGGAGGGGTAAGTATTTCTAGGACATCATGTATTGTCCTGTTTGTTGTAGGGCTTTTTTTGCTCCTCTCTTCAGAGATACCTGATAGCTGATCTTGATGTGATTCTTCATGTTCGGTACTTTCATTGAAGGGTTTAACTGTTGTGGTGATGATAAATAAAGCAGGAATAAATACCTTCCCACTTTTCATGTGTTTAGTAAATAATAGCTCAGATATATGTGGGTGTTTTGGTAAGATCCTACACATTAAGATTTTTGCTTCAGCTTAGGACCAGGGCTCCATGCATGCTCCTCTTTAAATACAACTTGCCACCTCTACAAAAGTGAATGCAGAAGCATATTCTTTATGCACCTAAAAATTCTCACTAATGATCTGGATCAGTGTAGTTCAAAAGCTTTCTGGCAACATTTTAATCAGTAAAAAAATGTGTAAATGGGTCAAATTACTAACTCATGAATCAATAAGACCAAAGCACTTGAATGGGTATCAGTTTAGTCTCTTTACATAATCAGATAGTTCCATGGATTTCAGGAAATTTTCATCAATTCAGTTCCAAGTTCTTCAATTTAACCAGGTTGTAAGCTGGAGCAACAGTCTCAATCAAAATGACCCAAACTGCTGTACTGCCCAAACAGAGAAAAAACACTAGAGAACTTTGGAATGACCAGATAGTAAAGGAAGCTGGATTCATACCTCTGTGTGCTCACACACATATGAAACTTCCTTATATATGTGCCATTATATTATTTTATGATTAGAATTGCTATGTTTAGAGATAAAAAACAAACTTTCAACATTAATTTAGCATATTTACCTTTGGCATGCAGAAGGATATCTGAAAGAAACTCACAGCACCCCAAGAGCTACAATATCTATTTTTAAGTAAAGTTAATCACTCATTGTCCAGGAAATGGGATCAGGAAATGAAAGCAGATATTTCAGACAGAAAATTAACTTGAATCATAATGTGATAATTCATTATTTAGATGGATACCTGTATGATGAAAAGTTTCTTCTTGCAGAGTTCCCTCTGTTTCAATTGAGGGAACATGTTCTGGATGCAATACATCAGAAGGGCTTTTTGTTGTAGGTTCCAGGGCTTCAGTTTCCAATCCAGGGTGAGTCCCATTAGGGAAATGTTGATCTGAGTCTTCCTGCTTGAAGAAATCATCACTGGAGGACACAGCTGTTATGATGATGTTTTGAATCAGTTCCAAAATTATGCTTGCTGAACAACCATCCAGATTGTTTTCTTTGTCTTGTTAATATATAAACACACCTACACGGCATGTATTTTCATTTACGTAGATTAGCAGGAGAAGGATGAAGCTAGATCAAAGTGCGGGAAGTGCTGCTGAGTTCACAGACACCCATTGCCATCACCTCAATTTTCAGCTGTTGATTGTTCAGAGAGTGCCCCAAAGACCAGTAGCAATAGCAGAGGAGAATATAATAGTGGCAGAAAAGAAGTGATAACTGCTTACACCTTTACAGACCTATCAAAGACATTTGATAGATCCCCAAATTTTGCATTGTCTGGATTCACAGGAGCAACTTAAGTCCATGCACCATCTCTTTTTTGTCTTCTTTTGTCTTCTACTTTCATTTGGAAATTTACATCTTGGAATGTTTGTGGACTTTGCGGCATGCTTCTGACAGATAATGTAGCCTTGTGCTTCAAGTTGAAGAACACGTTTTAGTTGGGAGTTTGTGCCAGGATAAGTGTTAGCGATTTCTTTTTGTTCTAAAGGTGCTGCTGTTTGAATCCAAGGAAATTGCCAGAAATATGTTGAGGTACCACCACCACACCACCTGATTTCTCCTTCAAAGTAAAATCTTTTCACAGCGTTCAGCAGAAAACAGAATGTGCTGAGTCTAAGAGAACATGCTTTATATCAACAATTCAAGATGAAACACCAAGACTGCAAAAAGCCCTGTGCAGTAAGAAAGCAAGGGAGTTCCCATCTGCAACAAAAGACACCAGGGTGTTCTACCATAAAGAAACCAACATTGCAAAGCAAAGTGTATGGATGTGCAATTTATTCATCACAAATGTTCTAATGCTGATAACACGATGCCTTTGGGTTTAAAAGATCTGTATGCCTCTATATTTGTAAGCTAGTTTTAAAGTCTGTTGTGCCTTTAAAACAAGGGAAAGCATGATAAAATGAGCTCAAGTTAGCTTTCTGCTTCTAAATATGGGGCTGTTCTAGATTAATTTTGTGACATCTACAAGCAATGCCTTCTTAAAAACACAGAATGGTCACTTGGTTGGCTCTGGGCAGTCATTAGCTCTTTTCTGTTTTTCCAGACAGACTTTCACTGATTGGGCAGCTGATCTGTGTCTACTTCAGCACTGCAAACTGGCCCAGTATAGCACTTGCTGTGTGGGGCAAGGAGGCTGACTTTGTTACACTGAAAAGCAATTTTAAAATACTTTTTAAAGATATGGTTGGGCATGGATGACACACCAGTCTGGAATTTCTGCAAATTTCAGGGGACAACTGAGTCTGAAATAAATGCAAGATGGCACTTGTGACTCACCCTAGCTTAGCCAAACCTAAATAATACTTGGGATTTTGGTTTCATGGTTTTGGTAGATGAAGCAGAACACATCTCGGGTGTGGGGAGGGAGTGCCTTTAAATGTGTAGGCTGGAAAGTCATCCCAGTATATTCTGTACATGTAGTACTAGTAAAAATGGAACAGTGCTGCCTGTTATTAATTACATTCTAGGTGTAGCTATTGTACAAACAAATGGTATTTCATGCTAAAGAAATTACTTTAAAGCTCATGCTCAATTACTCATACCAGTAGTTGTTGAATAATGTTCCTTATCACCTGGAGGAACAGTTCCAGGTGGCACATCCTCCCTTGTGCCAATTGTTGAATATGTGACTTCATTGTCCCTTCCAGAGGGTAGACCATGTACCAATGAATCGTGGGTTGAGTCTTCGTGTTTGACATCTCTGCTGGAGACCACAGCTGTTGTGACAATGGTTGAATGGATATTGGTTGGAATATCTGGCACAGTACAATGAACCAGCATTACTCTAAATCTATTAAATTGGTAGATATTGCAAACTGGAGCAAAGTTGGCTAAAACAGATGGATATTGTAAGGAACGGTTCACACTTCCATATTCTTTAGTGTCATGGAAGAGCTTGTGTGAAAGAATCTGCAGAGATTCATCACCAGAAGCATCACCCACAGATAAATGGCATCTGTGACTGTGAAAATGCCCAAAGATAAGAGAAACGTAATATATACTTGTAGCCCAGTCCCTAACCCTAACACATCAAATGCTTTTCCACCTTTAGCCAAGGGCTATCTCTTCTTCCTCTTTTTATTAGTTTTGTTCCAGTGCTGTGAACAGCTACATGGTGCACAGAACTGAAACAGATGGTAAATGTTTGTGTCAGGATTCTGTTAAAGGATAAATTTAAATGTTGGGTCTTTTTCTACTATACAGTAGAATGTATCTGAAAAGTTGTGTTGGAAACATTTAGGAGTTCTCTGAAAATAGATACACTTTGGAAGAGAAATATATCTTAGACTAATCGTTTGATTTTACTCTTTAGAGAAGAACTATAAAAATGTTATAACGTATGTGTGATAATTATCCCCTGCCCGCAGAACACTGTATCAGGTACAGCAGAATTAATTAGCAGAAACAGTGACAAATGAGTACAAGCACCTTGACTAGTACCACTCAATTGCATTTTCACTGTTAGGAGATAGAATTGTTAAGGACATATAAAATAATTTAAGAAACAGAAATATAATGTCTGTAGGTTCAACTGTTATTGAACCAGAAGAATAGTCTTCAACACCACCACAAAAACATACCACATACCACTGAAGAGATAGCAAAATATGCTTCTGAACTGAAAATATGTAGGAAAAATGCATATGCAACATGTTTAATTGAAAAAGATCAGACATAGAAACATAGAAAAACATAGAAACAAAGCAAGTCAGAAGGGGGCTCCTGGACCATTTAGTCTGACTCCCAGCATTAGCTGGCTCCATTCATGTAAACCCCGACATGTGGTTGTCCAGTCTTTCCTTAAACACCCTCGCTGATGGGGCCTCCCTTGGAAGCCTCCCTTGGAAGCCCCTTCCATATTCTAGGGGTCCTAACCATCATTAAGTGCTTCCTGACATCCAACCTGAAGCCTGGTTCCTTGAGCTTTGCCCCATTGGAACATGCAGGGAAGAACAGGTCACAACCCTCCTCTGCATGACATCCCCTCATATACTTGTAAGTTGCTAAAAGATCCCCTCGGAGTCTCCTCTTCTCCAGGCTGAAAATACCCAGTTCCCTCAATCTCTCCTGATATGTCATCCCTCCCAACTCAGCTGCCATTCTTGTGACTCTGTGCTGAACTAATTCTAACGTAGCTATGTCTCTCCTATAATGTGGAGCCCAGAATTGGATGCAGAACTCCAGTTGTGGGTGCGCCAGTGTTGTGCAGAGCAGTATCAACACCTCCCTAGATCTGGAAGCCACCCTTCTGGCTATACATCCAACAGTGGCATTTGCCTTCTTACCTGCTGCATCACACTCCTGGCTCACATTCGGCCTGCTATCAACAAGTAAGCCTGCTGTCAACAAGACACTAGTGATTAAATAAGAGCCCTGTGCAGATAGGAACTGTAGCTTTCTAAATACATCTAAAGTCATTGGCACATTTAGTGCCACATGCACACAACCGAAATAAAAGCAATAAAATATGAACAGTCAAATATCCATTCCATACTAAAGAATGGAAGTACAGAAATGATGTTTACTACATGAAGTGAACTTTCATAATGCACAAGTGGAAAATGCCTATAATGCAAAGAGGATAAGCTATGTCACACCTTGGTCCCCATTCATTTAAATAAAGCTCAAAAATAAAGTGCAAAACAAGATTCTATGAGAGAATCCATGAGTTTTCCATTTCTAGCATAAGCCAAGAAAATTGTAGCAGTATTCAGTACAGAAGCAATTTACAGCTCCCAATTGAGTATGTACAGAGAAATACTGACATAGGAAAACAATTCAGAGCATTCCTTGTAACATTACAACAATCACAACTGGATAATTCTGGATAAGACTTTGTGTTACTGAATGTCAATTGCCCTCTATAGGCTATCATTTATTATTTTGACCATTTCTCAGATGTGTACAAGCTTTTACTGAGACACATTCTATTAACTTCAATATAACATAGTCCACACATTACTGGAATTAGTTCTTACTCGTATTGGATGGCTGAGGTTCCATGTCACCACTGTTGTTCCACTCAAGACCTGTTTCAGGAATTATGTTCCCAGACCCTTGTTCGTCATCATCCTCATCATCATCCTCATCATCATTTTCTTCAGAACTCTCATCTAGTGATTTATTGATGTAAACCTATGGTGAGCTTTTGATCTCTTTATTCAACTCCTATCACCAAAATAAATACTATCAACAGTTTTTTTTCTTGCTTTTCTCATTTCTTTACTATTCTCAAAGCTGAGTTCAAGATGAAGAATAAGACACATAAATTTCATTGGTACAAGAAAATCCAATGGTATGGCTGCAATCCAAAAAATATAACTGGGCTTGAAATCTTTGGGAAAATCTGGATTGTGCCCTGTAGCTGTGAGAGGAAAACCAAGAATGTAGTTGGGCTAGACAGAAGTACAGCTATTGTATACTAATGTTTGTTAGGATTCACTTGGGTCCCTAAAGCACAACAAAGCCACAGAAGAGATTCTTAGTGACACTAGCATTAGAGTTTCAGTCCAGCTGGAAAATGTGAGTTGGAACTTTTTGTGAAAAGGATCTGAATACGAATTGACCCAACGAGAAGCAGTGCAGAAATGCTGTATACACCAAGTCATTTGAGATAGATGTCTAACAACTAAAGGCAGCAGAATATAATCTTCAATGTGCCTAACTCACATTTTCTAGGTTAAGAAGACCTGCTGAGGGTGTTGCACATGAAGACTGCAAAGAATGGAGCCAGCAGTAAGAATAACTACAGGTATCAAAAAGTCAGCTGGTTCACAAAGTATCCCATTACTAGGATGCTTTAAGGAATTATTGAACTAAGAAACATCAAGAACACCTGCATGTAACAATGGAGAACACAAGTATCGTGCAGATGGATATGGAAGAGCTTGCAGAGATGTCTTGAATGAGTTGGATTTTATTGGGTTAGGTTGGGTTGGGTTTTATTGTATAGAACAGGCCTTATCCCAAGATTGCTAGATAGGCTTGCCAGTGTGATCAGTGTGCTATTTTTCATGCCACTATGGAGTTTATATCCTAGAAATTTTTAGACTATTACTATCACTTAGTCTCCTTCCCCACAAGACCTTTTAGGATGCTACACTTCCTTATGCTCACACTGGGCAACCAAACAGAGTAGTTCCAATGATGCTAGGTGTACAGTTTCTTAGGAGGGCTGTCAGCTGTTCAGACAATAGCTGAATGAGTTGTGATATTTTATTTGTTAAGCCAACATTTCCCAACTAAGCTACCGTCCATCAGCACCCTTCTGAGTAAACACCATGAGTGCCAACAATAAGAAGAAAGGAGAAAGAGGTTTCGCATCTATGAACTTAGTGTTTAAGTCAAGAAAGCAGTGTCTGTTTGAAATTTCTGGCATTAACTCTCCACAGCAATTCCAGTAGTATTAATTTGGCACAGCTTATTTATACAATAGAGAAAAGTTAGTTCAGGGACATGGGAAGAAAGAACAGGACATTTATATTAATAATACAATGCCAAAATCAATATTCAGCAATAATAAAACAAAATAAATAGGAAGTGGGGAAAGTTTACTTAGATTTTTATCCTCTTGATTTTTACTAGGTTCCCTGCAAACCATTCTGGTGAATACCTAGACAGAGAATATATGAATGATGCATCAATGTCAAATTGTCTCTTCTTAATTTATGTACATTGCAGTTGTACTTATGTGAAAATATCTTTTAAGGTGCAGCACACAGAGTAACAGATGCAAGAACTATTCATGCTTGGCAAGCTCTTTTATGTATTTTGCACTCACGTATTCACATCTGGGTAAAAAGGGGGGTCATTACAAGCACCCCTATATTCCTAAAGATGTAGTAGCTTGTCAAGTGGGTTTTCAAATGCATTTGGTGCATTCTACGATATTCTTCATGTCAAGAGAAAAGTTAGAATACCTGGCAACATATTTGTATGTTTTAGCAACGGTGGACAGAATGAGCAGAATCCTATACTGGGCCTGTGCTAGCAAAATGGAAAGAATAGTATCTCTTTTCTTTATTAGTATCTGGATGCTACTTTGACTTCACTTGTAACTTCTCCCAAAGCTTTCACTGGTCTGAGAGCTTCTCTCATGCTGTTGTGTTCTGTACTGCCATCTTGAAGTCTCACATCTGTTTTGACAAAGCTTGCTGCAAATATTTAAGCCTGTCATACTGTTCCACCTCCATTACACTTTGACTTGTATTTCTTAATTGCTAGTTTATGCAAAAAAGAGGGTGGGAATGAGTCTTCTTGTTATTGATAACAGTGAAAGCTTGCTCTTTTAAAACATATTATTAACAAGATTTTTGTTTGACTTAAAGATTGGTTCTATATAAAGTGATTGTGTCTGAGAGACACAATAAGGCAAAGCCATCAGGTTAGAACTCCTGCTGACAGAACTTTGCCTGAAACAAAATTGGGTTCATAAAGGCATTTAGCCCACTTATTTCCCTTTCCCCCCTTCTTTCTCTCATTTCCCACAGCCAGTTAACTACTGTAACAAAATCTATTTGGTTAACTGCTAATTTTTATTCCTGATTGCACCTTTGATTTGTTTTAGTAAGGATGTCAAGCTGGTACTGTCTAGAATCCTTAAATAGGGAGAAGTAAATAAGAGGCTTTGTGCTTTTGTTAGAGACTGAAAAAAGATCACTATAATCAATGTTTCCTGGTTTAAGGGAACTCCAATGTCTAAGGCCATCGTCATGTGCAACTTTTCCCCTACAGTTTTACAGCTGTTGTAATCCTGCCTACTTGCTGAAAAAGTTTGGTCAAAACTTGAAAACATAAGTTTATTTATCTATGATATGAGAGAAGTTGGTCCACATAAAAGCTATCCCTGAGGCTGAGAAAATTCTATTTCTATTTCTTGTTTTACAACTGACTTTGTTTTGAAGGAAATTAAAGAAAGGATAGTCTAAGAAATCATCTACTGATGTCCCAGTGGATGTCCAGCAGATAGACTGTGAAAAAATATTGGAAAAATATCAGGCTAAGGAAACACTGTGGAATAAAAGGGGTAGAATAGTGAAGAAATTCTAAATAATGTCTTTCTGAGTCTATAATGCCTGAGAATTACAGTGGTTAATGTTTGACAAGGTAATGATTTCATGTCAACAAGCTTTTGCAACAGCGCTCAGAAAATCTGGAGATTTAATTGAAGGCTGAAAAAGCAGCAGCAGTACAGAACTAGAAGAGATAAAGTGATGACTAAAAATGTAATTACTTAAAACAGTTACAAAGTAAATGCAAGAAAGCACGTGGCAAGACTAGAGAAATATTTCTTCTCCAATCACATGGGAAAGTTATAACAAATATCTGAGAAAACTAGCTTGTACGGCAAAGACTTTGTTTCAATCATGAAAGTTCTTCCTTTCACGTGTTACTTCTATGCAGCTGATCCACATCCATGTTGAAACACATGGCGATAAAAATTTAGTTGGTCTAAGGCTCCTCACAATTGCATTTTAAATGGGAAAGATGCATATGTGAACATAAGCATGTATCCCTTTTCCCATAAGCAAGTAGAGCAAAGCTATGGGTACAAGGTCTTGCTCAGTGGCATTTGCTACCAAGCAGATATCTCAATGTATCTGCTCCGCTGTAAAAGCCTAGCACTGCCCATGCACTGGAACTATGAGCTGAGACAGTTAGCGTGTGTGCAGGCAATGTGCTGGTTAGCTTTTCTGCATGCCAGTAGAAGTATTTAAATTATACTTTCATTGGTATGCCAAAAGCCAGCCCCTACAATGCCCTGCATGCTATTGGCAGCCATGAGCCTGCCTTAGCTCATGGTAACAGTGTACAAACACAACACTAACCAGCTGAAATACTTGCTCAAATGTTTCAAATTCCGCAAGCAGAATGCATGAAGACTGCTAGAAATATCTCATCAAGGGTCCCTGTCTCTTGTCCAGATATATTAAACAACATAAAAAGGCACTGACTAAAACATATGTAAGGCATTACCGTTCCTGGAGGTTGTGTTGCGCACACCTTTATGTTCTTCAGATGGCCACCATAAAGGTAAATCTTCTGGAGTTTGCTGACCTTGTGTAGAGTTTTCATGATGCTTTTCTTTACTTGACATTTCTGCAGCTGTAAAGATGGCAGAATAACTAACACATTGCTTATATTACTTGTCTTCCATCACCGGAACCTCATCTTAGTGAAAACTACATTCTGCGTTCTTGAGTGGCATTTTGGTTGCTGTTTGAATTGCCCTAGTAAAATATTCCTGTGTTTGGGAACAGAAGCATACCAGCACAGAAAAAAAGAGAACACCACACGAAACAGCAGGAATGTTGTGAGCACAAAATAAACACATGAAGTCTGAATGTACTTGTGGGATCTACGTGAGTAATAAGCAAGCTGTCACATCCAGGAAAAAACTGTGAGCCATTTCTGCAGCATCACAGTAAAATGAATTATGCTTACTGATACTAGTAGAAAGATGAGCCTTGTTATCGTTCTTATCCTCTTCTGATGTTCTGTGTTTTTCTGCTGAATTTTCTTCTTTCTCATATGAGTCTAATTCTGTCATGATTAAGTAAAAAATGTAAATATTTACATTTTATCTATAATACATATGAACATTTATCCATAACTGGATAAATGAAAGCAGGAATCTAGTGCTCTTGGGAGGAAACTCCACTGTTTTCTTTGTAATTGCATTTTCACTCTTCTATCGTACTAGGATGATGGGTCAGGGAGTTAGTTCTGGAGCATTTCCCACAGCTATTTGCTTCTGTTCCAGTGCTGGGTCTTGGTCTTTTCATTGCGGCAATGCAGAGACAGAGAAGAGCTTTATCATTTTCTCATCCATTCATTTACATCATTATAAAATGTGGAGATGTAAATCTGATGGAGAGCATTTTCAATGATAAGTGGAAGCAGCAGAAATCCAACCAGAAGAAGCTTTGAGAAGAGGAAGAGATCAATGAGAAGAAGAACTCATTGACCAGAGAAGCAGAATGGCAACTTTCCATTTCAGCACAATGGGAAAAAATGAAAATGAAGATGGCTAAGAAATTCATATTGGAAATTCTATCCTGTGGGCATTTCCCCAAAAAAAGACGGTTTCTTTCTTTCTTTCTTCTTTGTTCTAAGAACAGTGATTCTTAGTTTTCAGTTCTGCATTCTGAAAGCATTTACAAGGAATGAAACTGATACTGCACACAGATGGAAACATTAGCCAGTTCTTGGACTGTCCACAGTACAGTAATATCCAGCATTATCAGACAACCAATCATAAACTTTGAGTTCCAGAATGTGTAGATTTAAAATGACCCTGGAGGTCATCTATTCCAGCCCCTGTAAAGTTCTATAAAGCAGAATGCCACTCTGGTATTCCTCACAGATTTGCTTAAATAAAATGTTTAAGGTTGACTTCAGACCCATTCATTCCCCGAGAAGCAACACCAGCAAGCATAGCAGAATAACAATTAAATCTTCCCAAATTTCAGATGTCAAAATCTTAGCAAAATCTGCTGCGAACAGAATGGTATGGAAAAGTTTGGCATTGATATATATTCTAAGTAAGCATAATACAGAAGGTATCCAGCACTTGGTTAAAATCAAGGTAATTGGCAGAAGGCCGTTTGCCAAAAGGGAAGTTGCAAGCAAGAAAAAATCCATCACATCACCAAAGTATCAAGTACAGAAATAGACAAAGCATCAGGAGTGTGACAATACCATGAAGCAGCTCAGAGGAGGACAATGTCCCTAATTGCACCATTGCACCTCGCACAGATCAGCAGGATCAGAACCTTGATCTAGGTATAGAGCAAAGGGTGGAGAAAAGACCATCTTTCCCCAGTTCCAACATTCAGAACCATTTGAAATCTGAATGGGTTCTCTTGGCGGATGTTGTCCTACTGACAATACACAATAGAGACAGTCATAAAAGCATAACCATATTTAAACATTTTAGAACCAATTTGACATTAAGAGTAACTCTTATTCCCCACTGACACTTTTGATGAATTGGTTTGTTGTCTGTATTTAAAGAATAGACCCAGGTTAAAAATTAGATTAGAGTAAGCAGCTTTACTATCAGCTTGCCTTTTCATAAACTTACGTAGATTGACACTATCCAACTTGGGAACTTTCCATCTTTTCTCAGAAAGCTGCTTAAATGTTTAATCCTTACACCACCCCCCCTTGCCCGCCCCAACTTGAAACAGGAAGGTTGGATCAAAGGGTTGAATCCAGCCATGGCTTTCTGCTGACAGATGCAATTCTGTCAACACAATGCGAAATGGGAGGGGTGCTCCCATTTGCTGCAGCCACCCATGCACCCAAAAAGCTATTTTGCAGGGCTAGGAAGACTGGTAGTTGTTGCTAGCACAACACTGATTTTAAGCCGCAGTTAGAATGCACATATATTCTCAACTTTATTTGCCCAGAGCAAACCCCGTAAATCTCTTGTTGCAGGTAAGTGTCCCAAACAGACGGTAGGTTTGAAACTATTCTTACGAAAGAAACAGCTTTGGTATAAATGTCATACGTTTTCCACAGACAGCCAATTGTATGTGACAGGCAAGTATGATTCACATTTCTACTGTTGTTTGTGCTTCCAGACTGGAAAATGCAGTGTCTAACAGTGATCAACTTCTGCTTTTGTCTCTTAAATATTTACTCTCTCAGATTCCTAACATCAGACTTCCCTTATGTTGTGATCCCACTGCAACAACTTTTAGCAGAGGCTTTTGCCCTTTTACACATTGCCACATAAAGGAAAGTTACCACCAACAGGTATTCTGCTGCCAAGTGCATGTTTTCTTTAACCTTAGAAGGTTCATGAAGGAGGCAGAGAGAGCATATTTTAATTTAATAAGCAGGGTATAACTGAATCAGCTACTGTATTAGCTTACAGAACAATAAAGACATTGATACAACACAGGAAGTATGTGTCACCATCAATGGGACTACAGAAACTATGCAGAATCCTATATAGAGTCTTAGGGAAAAGGCCCACAATTCTCCGCATGTCCCAGTCAGCCTTGCTGCCTGGGCTCTGTAGTTCTCTTCTGCATAGGGTTGCACCTTAAGAGGCGCAAAAGTAACTCGAAGGAGGCTTATCGAGAAAGCCGGAATGCCAACCACATCCAAACTAAGCAGAAAAATCACCCATTTGCCCAGTCCTGGCAAATGTTTACATATAAAGATGAGTACGTAAGTAATGGAGGAAATGGTCTGTTAGTTACAGTTTACATGAAGAATTGTTATTTGGAGGAATTTAATTGAGTCTGGTTCTGAACATTCATGTATTTCAAAAGATACAAAAACCATTCTGGGCAAAGAAACCCACATTGAAAGGAAATTTTACAGCTCTCATCAGGAGCTTCCTAGGTCATGTCACAGGCAGTCTCAAACCAAGGTCTCTCTTTTTCTTTTGGTGTATGTATGTGACAGAAATTATAATTACCTGGTGAAATCAGACATCCTCTAATTCATATGAATAGCCATACAACCACCTTTCATATGAATTAGAGGATGTCTGGTTTCCTTTATGTTTTTGTACACAGCCTTTTTCTTGGTTTTCCTGCTCTGTCCATTAGAGAAGAAAGGATCCTAGGGAAGTATTCTGCCACCGTTTCAAGGCAACATTAGACTGAAACTATAGTATATGTTCTTGATCGCTGGCTTTAATTGATATTCCTGATATTCAGGAATACACAGAAATTAAATCTGTATGCAGCAAAAGGAAAATTCTCTTTCACAAATGGAAAGAAGGCTCTACAAAACACAATAAACAAAAATGGTTCTTTCCAGATGATTATGCAGAAGGGCATGCTGATGCCTGGACATGTGACAGAATAGCACATTGGAGAGAGGAATATAACATTTGAATTAATCATGCCCTTGAGTACAGACTGGGTGAACGTTTTCACTCTGCTTATGATTGCTTCACAGAGTGAGAAGCAAGCAGATGCACAGCCAGCCAACTCCATAAAATGCCATGAATAATAAGTCTGTTCATTCTTCCCTTGATACTCGTCACTCTTTTGGGGAGGATAAACAGATCATGTCTATCTGACAATCAGACCCATGTTCCACCTCACATGCATGGGAAAACTTAGGTCATGAGCTCACTCCTGCACCAACCACACAACAAGGAGATGGTAGGAACTGATTCTTCTCATATTTCTACCAGACACTCAACATTATGTCCTTAATAATCATTCCAGAAACACATAATTTGGAAGATATTTGAGCATTGGATATTTGATTCATAACCACAGGAATGGCATCTTGTAAGCTGCTAAGAAAGAGCTTCAGTGGTCTGGAAACAGCTAATATAAATTGTTGTGCTTACTCGTAGTTTCAGGATGTTTGTCTTCAGGATGCTTGTCGTCAGGATCATAGTCATCAATATGGTATTTTCGGGTAACATCATCTATATAATACCAATAACATTAATAAGGATGAGGAGGGGGAGGAGTTGTAATCTTTTCATTTAATGACCCAGCCCTCATACAGTTTTCATTATTAAATCTTATAAAATATTGATCTCTCTTAAATTTTGAAGCAATTCCTGCTTCCTCATTCCCACTGCTCATCTTTCTCTAAAGTTTCAGAAGGAATGCGATGGGAATCTTGCTTGGCAAGTACATTAAAGGGCCTAGATGAGTGTCCTGATGCACAAGCCAGCTCCCTTCTCCTCCTCTGGTGCTGCTGCAAGTGGATCAGAAACTTTCATCTCAGCCCTGAACTATCCACAACTTAGTGCTATGTCAGAACCAAGACAAGCTTTGCTTAGATTGCTAAGCAGAATAGTCTGGAAGACTCAGCAGCCTCACCAGCTTGGCCTTTCACCAAAAGTATTTTAAACAATCATGTTTCCTGTTTCTAGAATTTTTGGACTGGGAAACAAGTTATGATTTTGGACATCTTGGGGAAAAAAAACCCTGTATAAGAAAAAAAAAAGAAAAAAAAAGAAAATGGAATAGGAAGGAAAGGGAAGTGTGAAGATATTTTCTACACTTTCTTATGGACTTATTTTTATGAGAAGAGTGCATCACCATAATTCTGATACTGATATTTATTTTGGTGGGTGAATTTGTTCTTTGGAAAAATAAGCTTATTTTTCACTGCATATGTATGATATAAAATGGTATGATATAGGGCAAATCCTCTGCTGGATCAAACAGGTTCAGTCAGTGGCAGGAAACAAACAGGGTACAACCTCATGTTTGTCTATACACAAGGTCATCAATCTCCTTAAAGTTATTAGGTAGGAACTCTGGGAAACGCCTTTTCCTGACACCATGGGACATTGTTGCCATTGGCAAACTGTAATTGGTTAAAACAGCTAACATGGAGACCCTCTGCATTTTTTGGTACAGCAGAGGAACAAAGGGCCCTTTCTGGATGCTTTCAGTACTGGCTTAAATGGACCATTGATGGAATTTAACATGAGACTGTTATCCTGACTGATACCTGCCACTTTTTCACATGATTACCCAAGGTGGTTCTGTTTCCAGTCCTACCTGGAGGATAAGGATACTGGGAGATACCATGTCTGATGATAGTGGGATCTGTTGTTATTCTGTCATTTGCAGAACCACTGCCTACACTGCTGTCGTCGTCAGTCACTGGAGGCTGCTCTGTGACTCTCTTTCCGTCCAGGAAGCGCGAGCCATCAGTGTTGAAAATTTCTGTTGGAAAGAGGAAGAAAGGTTTGACCATAGAAACAGCTATTTATTAAGGGTAGCTTAACCAGGGCCATTGTGCATATAGAAACGTAGCGGTCAGTTTGAACCATGTCTGTGAACAAGCAGTGGTGAATCTCAGACTCAAGCACTCCTGATGAGTCTTCAAACATGGCCGATGCTTCTAGTTGTCTACTAAACATGTTGTAGTAGACAACCAGAAGCATCCTTTTGCTGGAGCTTATAGTTATGTCCAAAAACGAAAAACTGGCTAGTTTAAACTATCATTCACTTAAACAACCTACTAATTATGAGTTGACCATGACTTCTTGCAGTATGCTCCAGTTTACACTAACCACAGTTTGCCCTTCTTTAACTGCTTCCAGTCAACAGAAAAGGGAAGGGAGGTTGCAAGCCAAAGGCTTGTTCACATAACCCTAATATTTGATAAAACATAATATCTGAACTGGACCAGTACTGCCTTTCCACACTAAAATCTATCTTGAATGAATTAGATCCAGATAATTAGTGCTATCCAAGACTGTTTAAAGCTAGCTCTTCTAGGATTTTGCCCAGACAAGGAACATTTGCCACTTCCCTAAGGCTATTAAGATCTTACAGGTCTACAGTGGACTTATTCAAGACCGGTCTTGCTGCTACCTCTTTCAGTTAGTTAGGAACCACTTCCTCTTGCAGAGAGACATTAATCACTTCTCTGGCCCAGCTGGCTGTTCCCACCCTGCTGATTTTTATAAGTCAAGAGATGCAAAGGTTCACCTGTCTACAGAGCTTGTCAGTGTCTGCAAGCTATCGAAACTGGAACTCATTCAAAAACTGGACAAGACTATGCCTGGATACCGAACTCTAACCACCTACTACTGCATCACTGGACTCAAATGCAAGTAGTTGCAAGAAATTTTATTCTTGAAATGCCTATCAAATGCCTTACAGTAGGCCTCAGGCAGCTCAGTAGTGTCCTCAGAAACCATACCCACTATCCATACTCAGATATCTAGCAGTAAAATGCTCCTGACAATATGTCAGAATGTTACACATGGCTTGTGTACAAGGTGGCAGCATGCACACTGTAGTAATTTATCACTTAGCAAATGGCCATAGGTCACTCTGGAGTCGCAGGAATTTTTCTGTTCTATAAATTGTGGAAGGTAGTTGGCATGGGCTACTCAGATAAACAAGGACAGTATCCAACTAAGTCATTCTGTTAGTACAAATGGTATTCTGCTAGTTGAAACTAGGGTTTTCAACTAGGCACAAAAGGAGAATCGACTAAAGTGCTATTTGTGCAAGTGTGCTTGAGCAAACAGTTGTGTATTACCCTTGCCCAAACCATTACGAATGGGTTCAAATGCATAGTTCTTGTGCAATCTATTGTGCAACTGTTTACACAAGCAATTGCACAGGCATAATGGACAACCTCTTGTGCGACAGAAACATTCAGTGGATTACACTTAATACTTTGCAAGTCTGGCAAATGACACCATTGAATCATTGCAGAGAATTGTCCAATACAAAGCACAGGGTAGAAGGTAAACGTTTGAGGGCAAATTAATTAAACCAGTCTTTCCCAGCCCTGAGCCCTTCAAATATTTTGGATCGCATCACACCCAGTCAACATGGTCAATGGTCAGAAAGTTGCAGTTCAAAATATCAGGAGGCAGCGGATTGGGGAAGTCTGAATTGCAGCCCTAAACTATGTAAAGCTTTCTAACAAAGAGAGATATTGCATGTTCCTCTATTTTCAATCTTCTGTTTGTGGTGCACTGGTCATTCTTGATCTTTTGCAATGCTTTTTGATAGACAATTTTTACAGCTGCTCAGATGCATGAAAATATGGGCAGCACAGTTCAACGCAGCTGTTATAACTCCCCAAACTTTTAGGATTATTTGCATCCTATGCAGAGCAGAAAGAACATTGAGACAGAGGTTACTTGCATGCTTCTGCCACCCCATAAACACTTAGATGACTATCTTAGCCTTTTGTCTCAGAGCTCATGGAGAAAAGGCTGCAACACTCAGATAATTTGTATGCCTCTGGCACCACTCTCTTCCATTCCTCACTCCAAAAAGCCCCTCGCCAAGGTTGCTCTTCCAACCACAGAAACAGTCCAGTGTGGTTCTTTCCACACTGGCTGAGAGGGCAGAGAAAGGAAGCTCTGAATATGGACACCCCGCCCCCCCAGCCAAGCTAGGGGCAAGTTTCCAAGATCACAGCTGGGATTCTAAAAAAAAATCTTATGGTCATCTAAACTTTGTATAGCAGCTATAGTATTGTGCCCTTAGTGTTCTTGATATTGCAGTCAATATGCACCTACTTCTAAACCAACCACCAAAGCCCATTTCATTATCGACAATGTAATGAGTACATGAATGTGCATTTTATAAACTTTGTTCAGTACAGGGACTTACTCAACACTATTAATATGTTTCAGCATTGCTTGAGCTATCAGTTTAAAAAGGGACTAGAGAAAGAAACAAGAAAGCAAAGGCGCAAATACACCTATGATTCTGCTTTCTGAAGTACTGCATAATGAATGAGAAAGAACCCATGCATCAAGGCACACATTATGTTCTTCAAAAGCATTAAGACAAGAATAGCTGATAGGGGAGAAGCCTGCAAACAGAAACACCCCCAGCAATATTTTGTTGTGGGGCCTCACTTACAGAATTTAATAATAATATGAATTATTTCAGAATGGCTTTAGAAAGTCTAATCCTAGTACATAAGCAGAGATTGATGGTTTGAAACTTAGGTAGATATTATACTGTCACGAAGTAGATTAGATTTCTCTTCTAAAATGTATACATAATTTTATATAAATTCTCTGGACACCTTTTCTTCCAACAGAGTAAAAATTTGCAAGTCTGATGTACAATCTATAAAATACACCCCCACATAGCATATATGGAATTAATTTTTTACCTATTGTTTCCATTCCATGGCTTCCATTATTCGGCCAAACCGAGTATAACTTTACCACTGGGTCACAATTCATATCACTTTGTTCTGCAGGGAGAAAAACAACAGAATATTCTCTTTTTATTTTTTGTAAAACTCAGCAAAGGAAGCAGGAAGTGAAAAAAAACCCCTGGCTTTGCACCAAGGTGCAAATGAGAACTCAGCCATCACAAATACAACGCTAAGTCCCTGCATTCATTCATACTGAATATGGGCTTTTGTTTAAAAACATGTGCGTGCATGTGCGTGTGCGAGCACACACACACGCACAAACACACACAGAGCACACCAACCTTGAAAACTGTGATAACAGCTGCAAGATTAAAATTTGCATGAGGCTAACATCTGCATTGGTACTGAAAATACCATCTACTTCCTGACAATCATAAAAGTTCAAGGAAATTGTGGTTAGAATGATTACTAGTTTTCAGAACAGCATTATATGGCAAAAGTATTTTATTGGGCTTTGACTGAACTTCAGCTACATGTAAGATTCCTAGGACACAACAGCCCTGCATGGACCACAATTCAGAACCCTTTGGGATCCCGTTCTAGTTGCTGACTTCTGGACATTTATTTGCACTAAGTCAAACTAGACAAGATTAACAGATTCATTCATTTAGGCTTGCCACAATCACATAGAAAACACAGGATGGGGATCCAATTTTTTGAATACAAAAAGCACATGGTTGATTGGAGTGAACGCTCTCTGCTCTTACTACTTAGCTATCTAAACCCATTTTCCCTAAGGGTCTTTCTTCTACCCAAATGTACTGGGGATATCAGAAGTTCAGCTGAGAAGAGAATCACTGGAGTGTAAATAAGACTGACTGTGAGGAGGTCAGCCATCTGCTGTGGATAGGGGCTTGCACTGCCCACATGCATTTCTCCTATATCTGTATTTTATTTTATTTTCTTCAAAAATAAGAGACCTGTGAAGTTCCCGTAAAACCACAGTAGATGGGTAGTTGGTTATGTTCAAGTTGGTAGGTAACAAGATGTTCAGTCATACAATAATATTTCTTAGAACATGCTGAGATTCTCTAATCTCTTGTTTCTTCTCTTTCACAGAGAAATGTGAAAATGTGCCACAGAACCATTGCAACAAACACAATTAGGTTGAATTTTTTTTTTTTTAGGTTGAAATTTTTTATTTAAATAAAAACATACAACAAACACAATTAGGCATCGCATGCATAACTCTAACATACATTCAAGGGGAAGTATGTGAAGAAACCAAGACATACCTGATGCATTGAAGCAGAAGGTATCATATCGGTCAGATATATTTGACATAAGTATGTAAATCCCAGTGGTATTTGCTGCACAGAGATGGTAAGGGGTATGTCGAGGAAGTACAACTTTATCTTCTATATAACCATATCTAGAGAGAAAAATAGCACAGTTGTATTAGTGCACAGGAGATAGGTATCTATTGGTAAAGCTTTGGATGATTTGCAGTACATCAGCAAGGATTTTTCTGATCCTCACTTTATTCTTTTCAGTACCAGGCTAAAACCTTTTTATTTTCCCTATATGTTATGATCTGATTGTTTTAATTGGGGTTTTATTGTTGGTTGGAAATCGTATTAGGATGCTGCATTCTATTTTATTTTATATTGTCTTATTGTTAAACCGTCCCGAAACCACAGTAAGAGATGGTCTGGAAAAGTTTGAAATAAATAATAAGAATGATAAAATGACTCTCCCTGGCAATATGCTAATCATTTCAATGAACTGAAGAAATGATAACCCGGAATAGGAAATTTGTGTAGACAAACTGTTCAGAATAAATACTTGGTCTCAGGATGGTTTGATTGTCCGTGTATGTCTTTTGTGACTGGTTCCAATTACTGGTCCTCAGCATTCCAACAGAAAGAAAACTGCACAGTTCCTGCAGTCCTAAAATCTGGCCAATCTATACATACATACATACATACATACATGTATATATAGCTGATATACCCAGAAGTGCACCTTAACAGGGTATCCATGAAGGAATCTCATTCCCCACATTGTAGATCAATGCTCATAACACAGTAAAACTACAATGTCTATCCGTATTATAGTTCTACTGATTATTAAAGGTTTACTGTATCTGTACTATATATGATTTACAGACTTAATACCATGTGGGATGGACAGTGGGATGAAAGATTTGTATGTGTGCTCCATTGGCCATCCTGAATTCAAATAATCTATAGGCATACTATACAATATACATTAGATAGCTAAGACAACAGGCTCCTTGAGGAAGTAATAAATATAAAAGCAAGAGTGAGTTCTATGGATAAAAAAACTGGGATGTTGATTTTACTAAATGAAAATATTCATAGTCTGGTAATACAGGAGTTGCATTGTATGTATCTGGTATTCTAGATATCTCTGTTTAAAAGTTTTGCAGCAAGCAAGGCTGAGGAAGGCCTCCAACTGAAAATCAAGATAGTCACTGGGGTAAACTTAATTAGCATTCTGCTAGGTAGGTCAACAGCCTGATTCATTATAAAGAGCTTCATATATTCTTTGGATGTAACTAACAGTGAGCTGGGTATTGCTATGTAGGAACTGTGCTAAGGTGCTTTAGGAAAGGGATGCATTTCCCGCCACTCCAATTTCCTGATCCACTGCCTTAGAGCATGCAACACTATTTGCTCTGTTAGCATTGTGCTTTGAATTCCAGAGACTGGCCAGAGGGTTATTCAAGATTATTTTGTCCCATGAAGTACAAAACGCTATACTAGGCAGTTTTATGTAGTCTTATTCCAGCTCTGCAAATTCCATCACAAATCACATTTTACCAATGTATCAGCATTAACAATCCAAGAATGCTATTGCAAATAAGGACATAGTTTGAAGGATAACCAAGGATCAAGTTCTAGTGTACTTGCAGGGATAATGAATGACACTCCACCCTCTAAACATGGCAAAGCTTTAATAAAATGCTGATCTGTAGCAATAATTTATCATGGGATGCTATGTAGCTAAAATATTTAATGTCCCCTTGGCATTCTGTATCGAACACATACATATGTGTTCTGTATCGAACACATACATATTTCAACATACATATATAGAACCTTATCAATTAGACTGGGGTTACAATGATCCAGACCCAGAAAACCATTGTTCATCTACATGAATCATGCCCATCTGATTCCCATCGCATCATGACTTTACAGGATGAAATATTACTCATGGGTGGAACATAATTCAGCTAACACATCAATATTTCCTATTGATTCTATACAGTTTTTTTGGCTATACAAAAACTAGTATTCCTTCTTTATACATCACCCCCTCCCCCCCAAAAAAACAAAAAACCTTATACGTATACCCAGGTGACTCTCATCCAGATTCAGATCATACTCCAGTTGTACACTGCATATATCGTTTAGACTACAATTGTGGGGATACTGAACTCAGAGGAACTGATTTCCAAGTGAACATGTATTGAATCAGTTATTTTAGCTGTTTTTAGGTAGAAAGCAAACAAGCATGGCTTTCAAAACTGGTCTTAAAACACAGGAAAATTCCTAGAGTGAAAGACAACCATTCAAATAAGCTGGCCCAAGACCATTTAAGATTGATTTATCAAAACCAGAACTCTGAAGTGGACCTGGAACTGCAATGGCAACCATTACATATTCGTATAATATGATCAAGCAGCAAGCACCCTAAAAGCCACATTATGTATCAGCTGAAAGTTCCAAGGCATTCATCTTCAATGGCAACCCCACGTATAGTACACTGAGGCAAGTCAGGATTTCTCTACATGCAAAGTAAGAAAGTGCCTCTGCCTGACTTTTGGGGATCCCTTCCCCTGTCTTTCATGCCATACCCTATCACACTGAATATGGTCCTCCAAATCTCTGTGGAGTATTTTCAGAGGGGCTTGGAGGGCTGCCACTAAAATGCACTTCCAACAGCCTAGATGAAAGTGACTAAATCAGGATCCAGCCTGATCATTTCCCCCTTTCTGTGATTATGCTATCAATGGGCATTCCATAATTTAGATGCCACCTATCCCAAAAAGTAATATTGATGCAAGTCTGGCCATAGAAGAAAACAATGCTATAAGAGTTCCACTCTAATGAACATGAAAGAGGTATTTTGTGCTTGTGGTGAGTTCTGTATGTTAATAGCTGCCAGGATTCTCATAGATACAGTTTGATGTGCAACAAAATGGTGAAAAAGAAGATACTGGATTGGTCTACATGAGGCACTTCATTGTGCTGTTAAACTATTGTATCTTCTTTCAGTTTCTTCAAAAAGATCTCCTCCCTTTCTGCTTTACTGATGTGCCATCTCCAGGAAAGCCATTGTGGAATTATATACAGGAAGATAGAGTACTGATTCCCCAGTTTTAATTTAATAGTTCTATTTTCCCTATTCTAAAACAAACAACAACAACACAACAGGAAAGTGCTCCAAAAAAAGCAGAAGTGAAACTGCAGCATCATGACATTGCTAAAGAGCCTATAAGCAACCATGAGTAAGAAACCATGAAAGCACAATAAAAGCCTCATGTAGAAAAGCCCTTGGACTATCATGGTGATGAATAAAATAATAAGTTATACATTGCTATTGGAGGGGGAAATTAACAGCATCCAGCCAGACTTTCCTCTACCAGTTTGGTACAGTTTCTGTTTTTGGAATAGACCTTGGCCAAGTGATCCAGCAACTTCAGTCATACTATATGTGTGTTAAATGAAGTGTTGCAATTAGTTTGAATGATTAGGCTGGGAAAAACAAGTTTTAAATGGTATTTTTTCTTCAGTGTGACATGGATCATCAGAAATTCAATAATGCTCGCAAACACTCATACAGAAACAATCCTACAGCTCATTGATTATGTTAACTTCCTTAGACACAGACTCCCCTTTCACCAACAAGCACCTACACAATTAACAATTCCTTCCACACAATGCAGCTGCTAAAGCAATATTCAACCTGCCCTTTGGTACAAAAGTCAACGTAGGTGGGCACAAAGACTGACAAATATTTATTGAACGTATCTGCAGTGCTGCTGCTGAGAGATAGTACAGCAAAGTGACTGGTAAACAGTATGAGCTGTGAATTTTCTGATTCAAGTCTGGCTTCAGCTGTGTACTCATCAGGTACCCTTAAGGGCAAGCCACTATTCCTTCCCAGCCTCTGCACCTGAACAATGGCAAGAATTATACTATTATAATTCCAGGCTTGTTCTAAGGTCTACTGAAATAATGCTCGTGAGGAAGTGCTAGACATGCACATGGTGGGCATGTCATGAGCGGAGTCTGCTGGAGCCAGGGGTCAGAGTAGATGGCCCGGGAGGCCCCTTCTGACTCACTCTGTTTCTATGTTTCTATGCATTGAACACATGGTTCCTTAACTGGTGGACTATGAGTGATCCACAACAGGGTCGCACTCACTATAAGAGGGTTCACACCAGTAGGTAATATAATAAGCCCTGCTGGATTTATTTATTTTATTTATTTATTTAGAGAACTTCTATGCCACCCCATTTGCCGAAGCCTCGGGGCAGCTCACAATCATAAATAAATAAACACAATATAAAACAGTATGATTTAAGTTGCCCTGGCCAAAGAATAAAATAAATAAATAGTATTAACAATTAAAATAACGTTTGAATAAAAAGGTCTTCGCCTTGCACCAAAAAACAAATAACTACGGCGCCAGGCAGACCTCTTTGGGGAGCGCATTCCATAGATTGGGCGCCACTGCAGAGAAAGCCCTCCTCCGAGTACTTACCCTCCTAATATCTTGGATCAGACCAAAGGTCCATCTAGTCCAGCACTCTGTACACACAGTGGCAAACCTGCTTCTCACAGAATTGCTCAAGCAGGATGGATGTGAAACCTCTTCCCATACAAGTTCCTCAGCAACTGGTATATGGTGGCATGCCATCTCTGGTAAAGGAGGTAGCACAGAGCCAGCAAAGCTAGTGGCCACTGATAGCTTCCTCCCTCATGAATCTGTCCAATGCCTTTTGAAGGCATCCTGATTGGTGACCATCACCACCTCCAATAGCAGTAAATTCCCTAATTTAACTACATTTTGTGTGGAACTACATTCTGCAAAGGTGTATTTTTTTTCTTTTTAATGAGCAGAATAAATAAAAAGGAAAAAAAGAAAAAGGCAAACAGTGGAAAGTAAAAACAGAAACAAGAAAGAGAAATAGGAAACACACAATAACCTATGACACAGTGAGAGCCAGTGTGGTGCAGAGGTTAAGAGAGCGGGACTGGGACTCAGGCAACCTGGGTTCTAGTCTCTGCTTGGCCATGGAGCCAACTGGGTGACTTTGGGCCAGTCACAGGCTCTCAGCATGAAGAGGAGAATGATATAAGCCGCTTTGAATTTGCAAGAAGAAAGCAAGATCTAAATCTAATATAAACAAACAAACACCTGTATGGTCTTATAGTGCAGCCTGGGTTTAATTTTAAGTTGACTCCAGAGTCTGAAAGGTTTGAAAAAGACTACTGGCCTACACTATTATATTGATGCTTGTTATAACTAAACAAGAAACAGTAACCAAAAGGAAGATACCAAACAATGTTAAGTAGGTAGACATGCTGTGCACCAGGGTGAGGGGAAAGGTTGAAAGGGCCACTGTGCCTAAAGCATGGAGGGAAACTTTCGGTCCATGCATTGGTTGAGGAGTGACAACTCAGGAAGCAGCTGAAAGAAATGTCCACCGCTCTATGAAGGTACACTGGCCTTTACCCTGTGGGCTTTGCATTTCATTTTTATTTCTTCATTAAATTTATATTTATATGGGTGGCATTACACCTGTCATGGACAGGACCACATTCCCCCCAAAGGTTTGTAGTCTGTGGGTGCTCCTGGACACTGAATTATCACTGGAATTTCAGGTGCATTTGGTGGCCCAGAACACCTTTTATCAGCTTAGGCTGATTTACCAACTTTGACCCTGACTTGTAAGGTAGAAGCTAGCAACAGTAATTCATGCTCTGGTAACCTCTTGTTTAGATTACTGTAATGCTCTCCACGTCGACCTGTCTTGGAAGACAGTCTGGAAATTTCAACTGATACAGAATAGGGAGGCAAGACTGCTGATGAGGACGGCTGACACGAACATACAACAAAAGCCCTTGGCCAACTTCACTGGCTAGCAATTGAAATCCAGGCCCAAGTCAAAGTGCAAAGTTAATACTGTCTTCTCTATACTCCTTTTGGTGCCAGGCAGAGACCTTTTTATTTACCCAATATTTACCCAATAGCTGACATGAGTTTAACTATTTTATAATGGTATTTATTGATTTTAATGCTACTTTGCCTTTGCATTTCATGAAAGTAATTGAGCTTACTATTTGGTTTCATGGTGGGGTTTCTCTGTTTTGATGGTTCTATTTATTGTTGTACTTTATATGATTCATTTAACATCTTGTTATTGTTTATATTTTGAGTATTATATGATTCTATCTTGACACCCACCCAGAGATCCAATTTGCCAATGAGTGGAATATAAATAAATAAATAAATAAATAAATAAATAAAATATACCACTTTTCCAACAAAATGGCACTCAGTTTTCCTACCTGCAAGTTTCAAGCCCAATATTGTAGGCCCTCTGCATCTGCTCCCACGTTGGGATGGTGCTGTTGAGGGCTCTGCAGAGTTCAACCGCCTCGTCTCTTGTGAGGCTGTAGCGGCGATTCTTTTCCACATGGAAAACGCCTCCATATCTGCAACTTATATTCAAACCTGTTCATTTGTTCAAGAAAAACAAAGGCAAAATTAGATAATGAAAGTAGTATAAGAACATTATTTAAAAGCATCGCAGATGTTTAGCTTCTACTAGTTCAGATGTTTCTAAATATGAAATTGCACACAGAAATGTAACTTTGTATCTGCTGCATGCTAGGCCACATGACCCCAAATAGCCTTGGGAATTAGAAGCTCTCCATTTATGTTGTTAAGGAAGTTTCCCAAGCTTTGTAATGGCTGGGGTATACTGGAAGTAGTTTGCTCTTGCGGCATGTCTTCTTTATAACATCACTGCTAACCTTAGCATAAGCCCTCTCTCAGCACTGGCTTTGGTTCAAAATACATTTCTCCCCCCAGGGAAAAGAAGACTGATAAACAGAGCAAGTAGCTGGAGGAGATGAAATTCAGCACATCTGTATCTTTTCTAAGGCCTGGAAAAAAATGTCATTTTGATCAGCAAAGTGAGTGTGATTGGGTTTACGTGTTTAGGAGAGATAGAAGGCACACCCCAAAGAGCATTAGTATCACTGGCAAAAGATACTTCTTCTGCAAGCAGAACCCAAGTCATGTTTGGATTCCAAGATAGGAATAGGTGATGTTCTTGCCCAACATGGTCAAGTTTATTTTTTCTCTTCCAAGGCAACCCTGGCCTTAACCAGACTGCAGAAGAATAGGAATGAGTAAATCGCTATTTGTGCTTCGTCAAGGGCAGGGCTGTTGTCACAAGTCTTAAAGACTTTTCCATGTGCCAAATTTGCAGATATCCACAATGTTTGTTGATCATTCCTTAAAATGGAAACCTGTAAAACATTTCCCTTTAGGCTGGAAGTAGGAGAAGGAGGTTACAGTTCATCCCCTAGAAAGACTAGCCTGAGCCTAGTCTGACGTAGCCTTGTACTCTCCATTCCTTTGCTAGACGTGAGGGAAACACAAACAGGAGCAGTTAAAACAAAACAAAAACTGGGTTTCTTGCTGTTTATTGCAACTAATATGGATGTCTGAATTTTATAGCTTCATTACAGTATTAGATGTTTGTGTTTTAAATTTTGGATGTATATTTTCTTTGTTGACTTGGGTGGACTAGGTCAAGAAAGGTGACCTTATTTAAAGTCACTGGGGTGCAATCCTATGCATGTTTGGAGTGAAAAAATAATAATTCTACAAATCCTAACAGTTCTGAGCTGGCTTAAGACTGTTTCTGTCTAAAACAGATATAGCAAAGGCTGATGAAATTTCAAAAACACAGTGGAATTTGGGAATGGTGGAAAAAGGAATACAGCAGTGTTCTTTCCTCAACCCACCTCTTCTCCGATACCCTTGCCATATTCATTCCAGACTTTTTGTTTTGTCTCTTCTACAATACTCCTGTCTCCCCATGTGAAACATACTTCTGCTTACTCAAGTTTTTGCTACAGAAGAAGAGTGTATAATAGAGTTTAATGACTGCATCACCCTCCATTGAAACTTCCCTGCCGTGTGACTTATATAGTAAGATCTTCATTGTTAATATTGCAAACCTTTCCCTGCTGATGGCTTGGTTTCAAACAATGCTCTTGCATCAGGAAATATATCCGAACAGGAATTACACAGAGAGGAAAGTGGTGCCAGGATTGGCCCAAAGCACCATGTAGAATACTCCTTTTCCCTGATAAGGGAGATGGATTATGAGGCTGTTACAGTGGTGCCATGAGATACTAAAGAGTAGGAAGGAAAGTACTTGCTGACTAGATAAAACTGGCCATGGGTCAATACCCACAGCTTGAGCAGGTGAACGCATTTACATCATGAAGTAGTATTATTTACTCATTCCACAGAGCAAGCTGCTGGTAAAGATACAGGAGCAGGGCTGATTCAAAAAAAATAACAAGTTGGCAATCCCCTGGAAGCCCTATCAGTTGTGAGTTTTGGCTAGACTACGCTAGAGTGGTGCATATTGGAAGATAGCCACCTCCTCTCTCCAAAAATAGGTTTCAGTACTCTGTTTCTTTTTCACATGCTGAGCTGTACTGAGTTCATAGTATGACTAAATCATCTGAAATAGACTGATATATAAAGGTTAGTTAGTGGGCTGTTGTTTTTACTTGTTAGCCTGTAGGTCACTGAAGGCAGGGCTCTGTTTTTATTCTGCATTTTAAAATGTACTGAGTGTTGGAAAGAGGTTGTTGTTGTTTTAGACACATAGAATAAATATAGCTGTTGCTGATGAAAATATTTCTCTTTGAAACACTGCAAGCTACTGCAAGCAACTTTGGCTAGTTAAAAAAAAGAAACATGATTTATGAATATATATGTTGTACAACTATGGCACATATATCTGAAGATAACCTGACTTCACTCATTTCCGAATGTTCATGCAATCACAAAGATATGAGCTATCACAAGGTGGTCACCTCAGGTGAGCAGAAATATCATGCAGACAAGTAAGATGTTGGTAGAGGAGGGACAGATTGCTCTATTCATTTTCCACTCGCTCCTTCAGTCTTCAAAGATAAGAAATGACTCTCCATTCACTACCAGTGTGGGAATTCAACAGTGCTGCAGAAGAAGGATAGGTTGCTATTCTCCTCATCTGCCAGTCTGCTTAGTACAGGGGGATTTTGTTTTTGTTTTAATGAGTTTTAGGAATTTTATGGTCCCACTTCCAACTAGTAGCCTAATATTTTATTCCATTTTTTAAACAAAGACTGTGCCATCACCACAGCTTCAAGTTGCTGACCTTATGCCTTCAATCAGATTGGCACAGTTTTTTTCAGGCTAGTCTCCAAAAACTCTCCTTAATATTTTTGGGGTTTTGTGTCCTAGTCCAATTTTAAAAAAAGAAAAGAGAAGAAATGTGTGGCAGGATAGTCACAAGACAAGCCTGCTGTTGTCTCTTCAGTCCTAGAATAAAATAATTTCTTTCACCACATTGGCTGCTTTACCACAAACACTAAATCAATAGTAACATTTGCAAATATTTCATTACAAACTTATTTGAATGCATTGTTTCCAAAATAAGAGACAGATCACCATACAAAAGCAACAATCATTACCACTGTAGTTCATCCCCACTCTGTGAGCCTTTTTACCATTTTCCCCACCAACATTCACCTGTAAAAGTAAGGTAGACAGCTTGCATGACCCATCTCCTTGGCAATCATATAGAATATAAGAAGAAAGCAAAAGTGGAACACTCAGGAATAGAAGGAAAGACCTCAGGCTTTACTAATTAAACTAGGATCAACCACACCCTCCTCCTGGGCAGAAACTAATTTATTGTAATTCATAAATAACTGGATGAACTTGAAGCATGAAAAATGCACCGAGCTAGGAACAATGCAAGAAATATAGTTGTTCCACATATACCAGGCATAAACATGGTTAACAAAAAACCACAGTGCCTTCTCTAAAATATTCATAGACATTACTTTCTACACAGCTTTCCCCACCCTGGTGCCCTATAGACCATGTGGACTACTTTTCCTAGTGCTCTTGATCAATGATCATGAGAAATGAACTGTAAAACATCTGGAAGTCCCCAAATTCAGAAAGTCCAGTTCAGATAAGTAATTCTTAAATATGTGCACTGAGATTAGTGATCAGTGATCTTTTTTTTTCTTTGATTCTTTTGCTAAGGTTGAAGCTTTATGCAAACTAGCTAGTCCTATTGAGCTCTGTAGGAATTACTTCATAATTATCCAGCACAGGACTGTGTAGTCACTGGTTATGCCAGGGAACAAGATCCCTCATTACCACCATGCAACCACAGAAGATATGAGTACATCTTAGCCTCACCTGCAGGCAGATAATCTGATGGACAGGCGAGATGAAACAGGATGCCTTGGAGAACTTTTGAGGAATATCAGTGGCTGCTATATACTGATGGCTGGCTACCTGCTGCATCTGCTATCAAAGGCAGCATTCCTTTGTATATCAGATCCAAGAAACGGGTTGACAGGTAGAGGTCCATTCATGTCCTGCTGGTGAGGTTTCCATGGGCACCTAATTAGCCACTCACTGTGTGAACAGAGTGCTGAACTAGATGGACCCATGGTTTGATCCAGCAAAGCTTTTTGCATCTCTTGTAGTTTGTCCAAGAGAAGAACAGATGTTTGAAGCACACATACACACACACACACAGACACCAGCAACTTAAGAACTCTATTTGGAGCCTTGAACGCAATCATTTTCTACCTGAGACTTCACTGGCACTAAATGATTTTTTACGCTGCCCTGTGCAGATACAATGGTACCCATGAGATCTGATGCAGAGTCAGGCACATCTGTCCTGAACAGCAGCCCTGTTCAATTTCTGTTTCTTTTGTTTTTTTTAAACAGGGCAGGAATATCACTTTATTTTTCAGTATGGCAGAGATTCTCAAACTGTGGTTCACAGAAAGGTTCTAGAAAAGTCTAGACCATCTGTACTTCAATCTGCAGTTGTTTTATTTTCTCAAATGACATAGATAGGGCTATTTTTATACTGAGCAGGCTAGCAAAGCCCTAGCAAAGGGACCATGATTTTCATAATATGGCACTGATGCAATCTACTAATTTTCCCATAAACATTTGCTGTCTTCACAGATATTTGCGCATAAAAGCAGACACATCTGTTAGAAATGTTAAATTACACTTATTAAAATATAAGTTATGATATGCTTTGCTTTGAAGAACAAAACAAAGTTTATTTGCTGCTCTGCTGGAGCCCCGTAAGCGATTTTCAAAGGAACATGGGGCAGAGGAATGGAAAACTGCTGCAGCAGGGAATGACTGATTTTTAAAATCTCCCAGTAAGCAACAGTCAGGAATTTACACTCCCCGTTTTCAGATATATTTAAGATTGAGTTGCAAAAACAGCAATAAAGCTCTAGTTCCTTTTTTCAATACCTCTTAATAAGCTGAAGTGCTGCTGTGTGTGAAATGACTCCTCCCTGCCCCATCCAGGTGCCCCTGTTACAGATACATCAATCATGATTGGCTGGCGCCTCCACGGAGCTGGTTCCATCCCATTTACACTG